TGGTTGTTGTGGGTTTTTCGGGCTCTTTGGCCGTGTTCTGAAGGTTGTTCTTCATAATGTTTCGCCAGTCTCTGTGGCCGGCATCTTCAGAGGACCTTGTGCTCTGGTGCTACTCCTGTCCTCTGAAGATGCCGGCCACAGAGACTGGCAAAATGTTAGGAAGAACAACCTTCAGAACACGGCCAAAGAGCCCGAAAAACCCACAACAACCAACTATTTATAATGAGTTACCTGTTCTAATATTCTCCCATCCATTGACCATTTATGAGTCTGAGGTCTTCTGTTGAGTACCATAATTTTGGTTTTCTCATAGTTGATATTAAGGAAAATTTCCATACAATGTTACTAAATTGTTTCAATAATCTTGTAAATCCTATTTGAGTGTGAGATATTAACAGGGTATCATCTGCATAAAGTAATATTGAAATAGCCCTTCCACCTGCTCTTATGGGAAAGAAATGTAGTCCCGTTAACCTATCCACCATGTCGTTGACATATAAGTTAAAGAGCAATGGAGCCAGGATGCAACCTTGGTGGACAACCTGAGATGTTTTAACTATATTGGACATTTGGCCGGAAACACCAACTCTAACATTTAGAGAAGAGTTGGTATGCAGATTCTTAATTCTTGCTAGCAATCTAGGATCTGTTCCAAGGTTTATAAGTTTTTTCCATAGTCGTCCTCTTGGAATGGAATCAAAAGCAGCTTTGAGATTGATAAAGGCCACATATAATTGTCCAGAGGATACTATAGTATATTTGTTAATTAGATGATTTAACAAAAAAAAAAAAAGATCTGATGTGCAGTGACTTGTGCTAGCAGAAAATTGGATTTTATCTTACATATATATTTAGGATAAATATCCACAGTGATACAGTATGTGTCCTCTCTCAGGCAAACCAGTAGTATGACTGATATGATGCTAAATCCTCCATCCAAAGCATGGTTTGAAAGATGGTTATTTCCTGCAGACTCCAATGCCACTGTAGACTGTTCTTCTCTACAATATCCTTTCTTTTCTTTTCTTTTTTTTCTGATTTCCGATAACTATTTCTGGATTGTCTTAGTCAAGTAAATTGTGGCTGGTGCTCATCATCAAACTATAATTTGAAGTAGGTTTTCAGATCCAGGCTTTACACATTAGCACTGACTGTAATTTGCTTGATTCAGAGAATGGAAGCCCAAGGAAGGAGAGGAACAATGTGAGCTCTCAGCCTAATCAATATCATGTTTGGGAAAGTTGTCAATGCTAAGATGAAGTATTTTAACTCTAATCAATGTGATGGTAATGTATAATGGACTTTTTAAGAATATGTAAGGATTTGTTCATATCAGTAGTCTTTTGTGATTTTCCATCACAAAATGGATGTTTTTGTATGTTTGAGTCCTAACCACCATGTCTAGCTAGGACTCCAACAGTCTTTCATTTAAGGAAATCAAGATAACGTATTTCAACAAATCACTAATCAGTATCTTGATTTCTTAATGTTGTTTACATGTTTTTATTTTCAATACTGCTTTCTAAAAAAATCCTATTTTCTTTTTAGATAAGATGTGAAGGAATCCGGTTATTTCTTCTCTGGCTGCAAGCTCTCCAGACAAATTGTGCAGAAGAACAGCTGTTAACTTTTGCTTGTCTCGTGCCTGGCTTTCCTGCAGTGATGTCCTCAAGAGGTCCATGTACACTGGATACCATCATTAACCCTCCTTCCAGTTTTCCAGATGGTAAGTTCTTTACGCTTCTAGTTTTTCTCTCCTAATATCTTGATGAAGACTGTTTTATACTGTTCCAGGTGCTCTGTCACTTGGTTAAAGAAATCTTCATTATCGTCATCATCTTAGCACTGGAAAGGACCCTATAGAATTGATCATCAAGCTCAGTGCCTGACAAATAGGCACAGTGGGGAACTGAACATCTACCTGCCCCTTGCAGTTTTCATAAATAACGTGTATCATCATTACTCTCTTTGATAGTGATTTTGAGTCTTGGCAGAAGTGGAGCCATGGTGGGGCCATCAAAACAAATGCATGGGAAACTTTCATCATGGCTTTGGGAACTCTTGAGACAAAAATACAAGAGGCCTGCTTACCCATTCCCCACTCCTTTGACAGGTACACGCACCAGTGAGAACTGAACAGGTTTATGAGCTATATAAAAAGGGGATTGAAAATTGAACAGCCAATATTATAATACTGTTGTACAAAACGCTGGTAAGGCCGCACCTGGAGTATTGCATACACGTCTGGTTGCCGCACCTCAAAAAAGTCATAGTGGAACTGGAAAAGGAGCAGAAAAGAGCGACTAAAATGATGACTTGCCTGGGGCACCTCCCTTATGAGGAAAGGCTACAGCATTTGGGGCTCTTTAGTCTAGGGAAAAGGCGCCTGAGGGGGGCCATGATTGAGACATCTAAATTATGCAGGAGATGGATAAAGTGTATAGAGGGAAGCTCTTTTCCCTCTCACACAATACCAGAACAAGGGGACATCCACTCCAATTGAGTGTTGGGAGAGTGAGAATAAACAAAAGAAAATATTTTTTTAACCAGTGTGTGGTTAGTCTGTTGATCTCCTTGCCACAGGATGTGGTGATGGCATCTGGCCTAGATCCCTTTAAAAGGGGATTAGACGGATTCCTAGAGGAAAAATCTATCACAGGTTACAAGCCATGATCGGGATGTACAATCTTAGGCTTAAAAGCAAGGTACTTCCAAATGCCAGATGGAGGGGAGGGGGTATCAGGAGACAGGGATCTAGTTGTCCTGTGTGCTCCCAGAGGCATCTGGTGGGGCCACTGTGAGATACAGGAAGGTGGACTAGATGGGCCCTTGGCCTGATGCAGCAGAGCTTTTGTTATGTTCTTATGTTGTTTATTAGAACCTTAAAAAAAGACAACTATCCTGTGGGGGAGTGGAGTTGAATGTCTTGGAGGAGTCCATGCCAGGCTGCCTGGAATCTGCCACATCCTCTCTTTCAGTGAGAACTGGTACAAGCCAGTTGTTTTCATACTGCTGTCTATGGGGACCAGTTCCCTTCATTTGTTTCTTTTTACCTGAAACTGTAGTAATTCACTGGGGTAGTCCTTCCTCTCACTTAAACAATGTGTCTTTTCCCCAACTTTATATCTGTCAGATGGCTGCAGCAATCAATTATTTAAGCTTCTGTCCCGAGGCATAAACTGTTTCATACAGGTAGACATGCATACACAATATTTAGGAGGACAAAATGTGGTATTGTAGCAGTGATGGACATAGTATGGTTTTGAGGTGGCATTTGATTACAGGCAGACAAGACAAAGCAAAACTTATTCATAGACAGAAGAAAGTTTGAAAAAAGATTAACGGATGATGTAGGGAAGAGACACTTCAGTGGTGGTGACCTGCAAAATGTGTGCAGTGTTTGTCTTTGTGCCTCAGAACAAAGCCGCCTAGAGTGGTTGAAATGACTAGATAGGCGGGGTATAAATACAATAAATAAATAAAATAAATAAACAACACAGCATGCACATGCAATAAGTGCAAACTGGTTGCACTGTTGGGGAAAAGTGAGAGAACTGGAACAGTGAGTGGCTCCGCTTAAGGGTATAAGAGATGGAGACTGCATAGACCAAACTCGGCAGCAATTGAAGGAAGGAGGAAACACTATGGAGAAGAGTCACAGTTAGGAGCAAAAGAAGGAGAAGGAACTCTTCACCAGCGGAACTGCAAAACCACTTTCAGATTCTTGAAGAGGAGCCTGGCAGACAGCATGCAGAGGAGGACATACAGGAAACCTCGCAGGAGGAAATGAGAGAGGCTGAAGTTGAGTCAGACACAGTCACCCTACAAAAAGAAGACTCGTTGTGCTAGGAGACTCCCTACTGCATGGGACTGAAACTGAAATATGCCAGGAAGACCCATGGGCCTGCCTAGTAAGTTATCTCCCTGGAGGATGGATTAGAGATAGATTAGGAATTTTGGGACCACAGGCTACATTTCCTGGAAGATGGACTGCTTGCAAGTAAAGACTAGAAATAATGTATTTGGCCACAACGTGAAGGGCTTTGTCAGGAAGGCTTTAAACTGAATTGGAAGAGAGATGCAAACTCAGAGGTAAAGATAGATGGAAGCTTATGCAGAATAAGAGGAATGGACTGAGCAGCTCTAATAGGATCCAATAAATACCAGGTGTATGGGAAACAAGAACTGGAAGAAGAAACAAGAAATCTTAGTCCAGGAGTGTAAATGCAACTTGATAGCAGTAACTGAAACATGGTAGCATTGTCAGGAAAAAACTGATCTTTAAAATAATAAAGCATAACAAAGCCTTCAAACAGGGCAATTCTCCAAAACTGGCAGAAATTTATTTAACACTATGATCATGGAATGGCACATTGCCCCTCAAATCCAGTCTGGGCATCCAAAATCACATGTTTTATTCCCTTATTAGAACATGTGTCAATCACAGAAATCATTTCATGAACACATTACAGTTTGGGACTTTCCAATCTTAAGTTGCAACACATCTTAGACTGTACATTTTGTACCTTGGGTTAGCTTCTGCTTAAGTTCCTCTTTTTAACATTTGTTGTAGTGGTTAATTTCTGTTTGCAATAAGTAGCACATAAGTAGGTTTTGTCTATTAGAAATCCTCTTTCTTTTGTATTCTGTATTTTCTATGTGCTGTAGTTAAAGGAAAAATAATAAAATGAAAACTGCAAGTGATACTGGTAAAGAGCTAAGTAGCTGGAGTTTAGTACCAACCATTGAATCAAGCTATGGATAAAACCTTTGAAAAACAAATTGCAAAAACTTGAGATACTGTACTGCAAGATTAGCTGTCCTTAATGTGATTCTAACCAATAGAGATGATTAGGTGGAAGAAAAGGAGTAAGGGGAACTCTGGGAGAAACTGACCATGTTTTACTTGAGTTATTTATTTTAGAGGAAACAAAATCAGAATATAACCACACATATGTGCTGGATTTCAAGAAAGCTGATTTTTATAAACTCAGAACAATAAATAAGGTCCCATGGCAGGAGATCCTAACGGGAAAAGGAGTCCAAGATGCATGGGAGTTTCTCATAAAGGAAATTCTAAAGGCACAACTATGAACATTTTTAAGAAGAAAAAAAGATGGAAGACAGCAAGAGGGATCAATGTAGTTTCACAATGATGTCAGAGAGGTCCTGAAAATAAAACAGGACACATATTGGAAGTGGAAGGAAGGCCAGGCCACAAAGGAAGAATACAGACAAGTAGCAAAGGATTACAGAGATGGCATCAGGAAGGCAAAAGCTGAGAATGAGCTGAGGTTAGCAAGAGATGCTAAAAGTAACAAAAAGTTATTCTTCAGGTATGTGTGTGCCAAAAGACAGAGAAAAGAGTGGTTCAGCTACTCCATATGAATGGAAAAATGAAAATGCTTGACAAAGAAAAGTCAGAAGTGCTAAATTCCCACTTTAGCCCAGTCTTTTCTCAGAAAACAGTCTATGACCCTCTGGAGGGGATAGGGGATAGTTTGAGACTGATAAACAAATAGTCAATGTTTGTCAATATAGTCAATAATCAATAAGATATAAGAATATCTTATTACTTTGAGTAAGTACAGATCTCCAGGGCACAATGAACTGCATCCAGGAGTATTGAAGGGACTGTTCTGAAGAATTCTCAGAGCACTGGGCTGAAAACAACAGAATGAAATTTAACAGGGCTAAGTGCACAAATATAAGATGGGGGATACTTATATCAGTAATACTATGAGTGAGAAGGGTCTTGGAATTGTTGTAGATCAAAAGTTGAGTATGAGCCATCAGTGTGCCGTGGCTGCTGTAGAAAGCAAATGCATTTCAGGATGCATTAACAGAAATATAGTCTCCAAATCCCGTGACTTACTGATTCCTGTCCATTCGGCATTGGTTAGGCCTCATCTACAGTACTGTGTTCAATTCTGGACACCAGAGTTTAAGACCATTGCTAACAAACTGGAACAAGTTCAGAGGAGGGCAACAAAGATGAGGAAAGACTGAAAGAACCGGGCATGTTTAGCATTGAGAAAAGAAGAATGAGGGGAGATATGGTAGCACTTTTCAAATATTTGAAAGATAGTCAGTTATACAGAGGAAACCAATAAGATTAAATTTAACAGAGATGTGCAAAGTCTTATACCTGAGGATGAGGTGGGAACTACCCAAATGCAGTTACAGTGGTGCCTCGACTTACGAACTTAATTGGTCCAGGAAGACGGTCATAAGTCGAAATGGTCATAAGTCGAAGCACCATTTCCCATTGAAATGCATTGAAATGCAATTAATCCGTTCTGGCAGAAGAAAAAAAATACCCCAAAACAAAATCAGTGCAAGACTCGTTAGAAACGCGATTAATCCCTTCTGGTTGAAGGGGGGGGGGAAACAACAATCAAGCATGCTAGACCCATTGGAAATGCACAGAAAACAAAGGGACTGGGTCCAAAATGCACAAAGAACAAAGGGAGCAGTTTGGAAATGCACAGAAGACAAAGGGACCAGGTCCAAAATGAACAGAAAGTAAAGGGACCAGGTCTAAAATGTACAGAGAACAAAAGGACCAGGTCCGAAATGCACAGAAAACAAAGGACCAGGTCAGAAATGTACAGAGAACAAAGGATGCAGTTCGGAAATGCAGAGAAAACAAAGGGACCATCTTTGCAAAGGGAAATGCAAAGAGAACAAAGAAAAAAAAGCAAGGGAAGCATGCAAGACCCATCAGAAATGGAGGGAAACCCCCCAAAGCAAATAAACCCCCCAAGACCCATCGGAAATGGGGGGGAAAAACCCAAAGTAAACAAACCCTGCAAGACCATAGGAAATGGGAAAAAACACTCCAAAAAGCAACCACCACCACCCCAAAACCTATTGGAAATGGGGAACCAAAAAATAAACAAACTCCCCAAGACCCAGCACAGCACAGAAACATAACCCCTCCCAGCCCAAAACCATGCTGCAACAACACCCAGAACAAATTTTAAAAAGCAGAAAACAGCACCTTACCTTACCAGGCAGCCTGAAGCCTTCCTGCAAACACACACACACGCTCACTCAGAAGCAGAAACTAGGCAGTCCCAAGCCTCCTCCGATCGCACACTCTCTAACTGCTGGGGCGAAAGAGCTACAAAGAAGCAGCCTCGTCGCCACCTACAGTTAGAAATTTGAATTTCCTGCCTTTTTCCCCTGCCCTTTTCTTTTCATAAGTGGAAGCTCTGGTCACAAGTAAAAACAAAATTTTGTGGCTGGAACTGGTCGTAACTTGAAATGGTCGTATGTAGGAATGTTCATAAGTCGAGGCACCACTGTATAAGATGAGAAATGCTTGGCTCAGTAGTACTATGAATGAGAAGGATCTTGTAATTGTTGTAGATCATAAGCTGAATATGAGCTAACAGTATGATGTGAGTGGGGAAAAGGCAAATTTATTTTATACGACCCTGTTTTGCACTGCATTAACAGAAGTATAGTCTCCAGATCCATGAAGTACTGGTTCCCTCTACTTTGGCTCTGTTTACACCTCATATATAGTACTATGTCCTGTTCTGGACACCACACTTTAAGAAAGATTTTGACAAACTGGAACATGTTCACAAGAGGGCAACAGGGATGTTCAGGGGACTGGAAAGAAATTCCTATGAGGAGAGATTGAAAGAATTTGGCATGTTTAGCCTTGAGAAAAGAAAACTGAGGAGAGACATGGCAGCACTTTTCAAATACATAAAAGGTAAATACAGAGGAGGGGCGGGATCTGCTCTTGATTATCTGAGAATGCAGGACAAATAATAATGGGCTCAAGTTACAGGAAGCCAGAATCGTTTGAATGTCAGCAAAAACTTCTATTAGAGCAATATGACAATGTTGGAGTAATATGAAAATTACCTTGGGAAGTGGTAAGCACTCCAACACTGGAGACATTCAAGAGAAAATTAGATATGCATCTGTCAGATATACTTTGATTTTAATTACTACATGGAGCAGATGGTTGGACTTGTTGGTCTTATAGGTTCCCTCCATTATGCTGTGATTCTGTGATAAGGCTATCAGTCCTCATGAACATAGCTGGTGTGAAGCCATGCTGGAGGTTGCAATCAAAGAACATTGGGTGACACACACTTTGTCCATCCTGTATTAGAGGTTTAGTTGTGAATTCCAGGGAAATAGATCTATGCACAACTATCTCTGGCAGTGGCCTAGCTTCTCGTCTAGTTACCTAGAGTCCAGGTGTTTATGCTATAATGTTCACGTCTTTTGAAAGATTGCTTTCTTTCCTATTTTCTGGTTCTGTTCCAGCAAAGATATATGCTGAAGAAATTACACCACTTTTACCTCATGCTTCTGGTGAAAAGGTTGCTGAAGACCCAACATGCTACTTCCTTCAGATACTGTTAAAATATATGGTCATCCAGGTGAGTACACATGTTGTAAATGTACTTTAGTAGTATAATTTTATTTGTTTTTGCATCTACTTGATCTTGCATTTCTATTTGATTCAAAAAATGTGTGTAGTAATATGATACATTTTTCTTAACTCTGGTCAAGGCTGCAAGCTTGGAATGGAAGAATAAGGAAAACTGTGATACTGGATTTAAGTTTCTTTTTGCCTTGTTCAGAAAATATTATCTTCCTCATTTATTTCCCAGTTTTACAAAACTAACTAACGTCTACAAACCTGTGCTTGGTAAGTAGCCATTTTATTTTAGTTTTTTTGAAAATTTGCTAGATTTTTTTAAATATCATTTTCCCACTATCAAGATTTGAATGTACTTCTCTATAGAAGTGAGAATACATTTTCTTCTTGTTAAGCCAAAAGAATGAGAATGAGAAAAAAAGACTTCCATTGAACAGCCTTTGCTGGTTTCAATTTTATAGCTCCCAATCTGCATTTTGGAAATAATATCATACTGATACATCTAATAGTATTTCCATAAGCATTTTATGGTTTTTTAAAAAAACTAAGCACATTTCCTGTCAAGATTTATTAATATTAGGTTGCATATGGTTGTTTGCAAACAATGGATGGTTCAGTGAACCTTATTGCGAGGTAAATTTGTTTTAGGACTAAAGCTTTTATATCTAATTACAACAATGGTACAGTAAAAGCTGAAATTCTAAAGCTAAATAGAAAAAAACACAGTGTTTCATCTTTTGTATAATAGAGTTGAAGAAATGTTACAAATTTTACAGACTTGTTTTATATATGAGAGCTAATGCAATTGTGAAACTTTTCTCTCAGTTTTTATGGTCTTTGTGAAAAACAGTAACCCACTTTCTAAAGTTTCTGCTGCCTTTCTGCACAAATTATCTGGGGAAAGAAATAATCATCTATATTCATATGGACTGAGCTGTCCACATTGTTTTCACTAAGCGGGAAAGTTGTGTCAGGAACTTTTGTTCATGAAGACAGGATTTTAAAAAATAAAATAAAACAAATTCCCTGTTTGGTGTTTTACAGATATCCCTGGTCTGCGACCCAAGCCAACCTATGTTAATGTATCTTGTAATAGTGAAAATATTTATAGCACAAAAATACCGTACATGACTGCTCGTGTAGCTTTTATTAAATGGCTTGTAAACTTTTTTCTGGAAAAAAAGTACTTCACGGCAACACAGAATTTTAAAAATGGAGGGGATGTTTTGCCCAGGATTATTCAAGTATGTTTTATATTTTACTTCTGCTAATATTCATCCTTCAAGTCATACTGTAAACTTTGTTTTAACATTAAAGCTACTTTTGCTAAAATATTGTGTATTATACTGTGAACTGTAATTATGTAAGGCATTAAGAAATTTAGATTGTTAAGTAATGAAATGACATCCTTGTGACAAGGAGACATTATTAAATTGTACATTTTAAAGATTAGTTTCTTCAAATTTAGCTTAAATCAGAAAGAAGAAGAAAATGTACTTGAACATAACAGATAATTGTGATGTTCAAAGACTTGCCTATGACCTCAAGTGTCTCCTAGAATTTCTTTTTCTTTTGGCCTGCTCTTCTGAAATACGCTCTCAGAATGAACCAGGAGAGTATTCCTAGACTTTTAAACTCCTGTTTCTGAGACAGTAACTGTGGCCAGATGATGTATTTCAGTGATGTTAGTTACAAGGAATGATAAATCTGACTACATTTTCTTGTGCATGGTATATTCCTACATTGTAATCTACCTTCTCTTTCTACCTCTGATGTTTATTTAAGACTGTGAGTGGTACAGTGCAAGATAAAAATCCTGAAGCAGAGAATAGTATTCCATCAGACCAGGACAAAAATCATGCAAACAACAGCACATTGACTGAGAGAAGGCTTAGTGATTCCAGTTCTTGCAACATTGAGGAACAACACCGGGCAGTATATGAAATGGTGCAGCAGATTCTCTTGTCTACACGAGGTTATGTAAATTTTGTCCATGAAGTATTTCGCCAGGTTAGTGTCTGTAAACATCAGTATATTTGCTGTACATATATAAGTCATATGTAGGTAGTATGTGTTGGCCTTGTATCTAGATACCTCATTTAAATCCTTGATATTCACAGATGTCCTATGTCTATACCATTTCCCCTGGGATCTTGGGAAAATGTAAAATAAGAATAAATAATTAAAGTATTTTTTAAAATTATATAGTTTGGAAAATGAAAGCAAAAGAGAGCAGACGCATAGCCCAAATAGCTGGATTCTAAGCTTCATTGATTTCAGTGGGATTTGCCTCTAAATCACCAGGCTGAGAATTATACTCCTGATCTTTCTATGTATGGCACAGTAGTTTTTAGAAGCACTTGACTTCAAGTGAGAGCAATCTAAACAGTTACATATATTTTATTTGTATAAGCCTAGAGAGGATAAATTTAGGAATAAATAGATATGTTCAGTATACGAAAAACTTCTAAGTGAAGTTTGAAGGATCATATAAAGGGTGCACAAATGTGGCAGATATGGTGACTGGATTACCCACTGTGAAGAAATTGAAACTTGGGTTATATGAAATATGAAATTCAGTTGCTAGACTCTTCTATGTTTCTGTGAGCCTGGGAAGCTGACCTCCCAGGCAGAGGACAAAGTGGAAATGGACAGTTCACACCTGCAACTCATCTCTCGCTACTGAACACTGGAAAGGACAGAGTGAGCAAGAGAGCAGGCACTTCCATGCTTACCTTTATTAGAGGTAAAGCTGCCCCAAAAGGACACTAACACCATATCTGTAACCGTGACTTGAAAGGAGCAGGTCTGAGGCATTCCCAGAGAGTTTTCTAGGTTTGGATGATGGAAATGGCACCCAGTCAGGAAGCTGCCTTTTATCTTGATGGAACATGAAAAGAATTTAAGATTATGGGCAACAGGTAGCTAATTGCTCATTCACAGGTATAAAAAAGGATTATGGCTAGTTAGTGGGCTGGAATGTCTCAGAGGAGAATGATACCTTGCTCCCCTGCTGTTCAAAGGAACTTTGCCTGACCTGAGAAGACCTTAGTCTGTTTGCTGTCCTATGAAGCTTTGTTGAGGGATACACTCTGTTTATGCCCTCAGAACTATGCTTTCTCTGCTAAGGTATGTGTATCAGATAGGGTAGATTAGCTTTATAATTTTCTGGTGTGTTTTCTGCCTGAATGCTTGAAAGTCTGTCTAAACATTGCTGCTGTATTTTGAAAGGCTGTTTCTTGTAACTATTTGGAACTTTTATCCCTTCTGTCCATTTGAGTTTTTCTTTCTTTTTAATAAACTTCAAAAATCATTTCAGGCAATTTTCTGGATTTTGACTGAGAGGGTTGATCGTACTGAGACCAGTGCATGGTCCCTGTTTTGACAGAAATAGTTCAGTAATCTTACATTTGACTTTGTAGAATGACTGAGGTTCATTTGGAGATGAATTTGGTAAAATAAACTGTGCATAATCAGGCTGTGAACCTTTTTCATCTTAGTTTATTATCCTGCAACAGCTTCCTGCAACCTGAAGCCCATCAAATGAGTTGAAGTGCAACCTCCAGCATCCAATGTTAGGTGTTGATGATAAGAACTGTAATGCAACTCATCTGAAAGACACCTATTTTGGAGATGCTATCCTATAAAACAAAATAGAAAAAGACAAAAAGCCCCCATCTTATTAATATAATTCCCTTTTCAACATGGCTTCTCTTTATCATGAAGTTAATTTGTTTTACGATGTTGATATTATACTGCAACTTCTTCATAATTTATTTGTGTGCTGGCTGGACAAATTTAAGTGGTGTTGGCTTCTTTTGCTTTGATACGGAATGCTCATATCAATGATTTCAATGGTATGTCAGTAATGTGTATTATTCCCATTTTAGGCTTTTTTGCTGCCTTCATCAGAGATATCTTCAATTGAAAAAGTAGTGAAAGTATATAGAAAGTGGATACTGCAAGACAGGCCTGTGTTCATGGAAGAACCAGATATGAAAGAAGCAATTCAAGATGATGATGGCACTGCAAATCTTTCTACAACAGAATCAGATGGCAAACATGTATGCCTTTAGTTATTACTAAATGGTTGGATAGTTCATAATGTGCAGTTAACTGTAGTTAATGAATATATATGTGATATACAGTATAAAGATTGCTCAAGTTAACAGTAACAGAACATCGCCAACTTAGATTCTTTGATTTTCTTAGCCCTTTGATCTGCTGCTACATCATGCACTCATTCCTTATCTGTTCATTTCCCTGCTTGAGACTCAGTCGTATGTTTTACATAATATCTGTTAGAAACAATGTTGTCCATCACTTTAGGACTTAGTGATTGCAAAAAATTATCAGGATATGCTAACTTACGTATTTAGTTACTGTTTTCATGTCTACACTATTCTTCTGCCTGAGTTTACACAGAACAGCAAAGAACATGATTAAAATAATAAACCATAAAACAGACAAAGCAGGATCTATGAAGAGGTGAAGGCAACTAGATGTATGCTGGATCCTTGCCTTTCCTGGCTTATAAAAACAGCCAGAGGGAGACTGACAGAGTGAGTTAAAGGAATGGTGAATGATTCTTTGCAGCAAGGTAAAGTACCGGAATGTCTCAAGGAGGCTGTAGTAAGACTTCTTTTTAAAAACCTCCTTGAACCCCACTGTATTAGATAGTTATTGGCCAGTCTCTCATATTCCATTTTTGGTCAAGGTCTTGGGGTGTGCTGTAGCATCTGAGCTCCAGAGGTTCCTGGGTGAATTGGATTATTGAGATCCATTTCAGTCTGGCTCCAGGCCTGTTTACAGAACAGAGGCAGCTTTGGTAACCTTGGTTGCTTTTTATATATATCAAAATTCCAAATTATTCTTTTTACTATTTTCTGCCTTCCAGGTTTAAGTTCTCGTTTCAATATACACTCTTCATACGCTGCCTGTTGATTCAGTCCATTTGTAGAATAAGTCCCATCTTTCTGTTGCCTTTTGTAAAGGACAATCCTTCATCACTTCTGATAAAATGTCCATTTCCGCTGTTTCCCGTATCTTCTCTATAAGATCTTCTTGTTTCGGTACCATCGGACTTTTCCAATTTTTGGCATAGAGAATTCTGGCTGCAGTAACTATGTATATAACTATATATTCCTTTGTCTTATCTATGTTATCAGGTATCATACTCAATAAAAACAGTTCTGGAGTTAATGGCACCTTACAAAGCAATATTTGTTGCAACACAGCATGTACTCTTTTCCAATACTGTTTTGCTACTCTACATGACCACCACATATGATAATAGCTTCCCACTTGTGCTTCACATTTCCAACACACATTTGATCCATCTGTATACATCTTCGACAGTTTTTCCGGAGTCATATGCCACCTATAAAACATCTTGTATATATTCTTCTTAAAATTAACCAATCTTGTCAGCTTTATATTATTTTGCCATATTTTCAACCATTGATCAATATCAATATTATGCCCTATGTTTTGTGCCTACTTAATCATACATTCTTTAACCATTTCATCTTGCATTTTATTTTCTAACAGATAGTTATACATTTTCTTAACAATTTTATCTTTTGAACCTAATAAAAGCTTATCAAACATCGTTTGTTCTGAATAGAAACCTTTTATTTTGTCTTTTGTGTATCTAGATTCCAGCTGTACTCTGGACCACCAGTCTATATAGATATTCTGTGTCTCTAGCTCTTCTTTAGACCTTAGTTCACCATCCTTTTTAAAATAAATCTTGGAATCTTAAAAGTTTTGCTTTTGTCATGAAATTAGGTTGTGTAAAGGCCTCTGTAGGTGACACCCATACAGGTGTTTTTTGATAAATTTGTTGCATAATCTTTCTCCACATTCCCAATAAAGCTCTTCTTATCATATGTAAATTAAAATGCTTTTGCTCTTTATCCTTTTTATACCATAGATAAGCGTGCCAGCCTAATTGTAAATCGTGTCCTTCCAAGTTAAGTAATCTATCATTTTCCAAAGTTATCCATTCTTTTATCCAATCTAAAATACAGTATCTATAATACAGAACCCAATCTGGGAGACCAAAACCAGCCCTCTGTTTAGCAGGTAACCTTGGTTGCTGACCATGCTGGGAATTGGACAGGGGGAGTGTGTCCCTGTTGGCTGCATCTTTCAGCGGCTTTTGAGGCACCTTTCTGGGATGGGTCTTGCAGGGACTGTTTTACAGTGGTTCCAATCCCTCCTTGATGACTGAACTCAGAAGGTGGTATTGAGAGAATCCTATTCAACACCCTGGACATTGATCTGTGGTGTCCCTCAGGGCAGTCTTGTCCCGCATGTTATTTAACATCCGCATGAAACTACTGGGAGATGTTATCTGACATTTTGGGGTTTAGTGCCATCTGTACACTGATGACACCCAACTCTATCTCTCCTTCCCATCTGATTCCAAGGAAGCTGTTCCATGCTTAGCCCACTGTCTGTTGTCAATGATGGACTGAATTAAACCTGATCTGGACAAGACAGGTGCTCATGGTTAATCACAAGGCAAATCAGTAGATAGGGATTCAGTCTGTACAGGATGGGATTACAATCTCCCAAAAAAGTCAGGTTCTCAGCTTGGGTGTGCTCCTGGACTCACACTGAGCTTGGATTCACAGGTTTCAGTGGAGGCCAGGAGTGCATTTGGACAGTTAAAGCTGGTGTGCCCCTTGCTCCCATTCTTTGAGATATCAGATTTGGGCACAGTAACATGTGCCTTAATTATATCACACTTGTACTACTGCAACACACTCTATGTGGGGCTGCCTTTAGAGAGTGTTCAGAAACCTCAGGTGGTTCTAACTGCTGCAGCCAGACTCTTGACTGGTGGTGATTATAAAGGGCATGTAACTCCCTATTACAACTTCACTGACTGCCAGTGTGTTTTCAGGCCCAATTCAAAGTGCTAGTTATTACCTATAAAGCCCAATACTGCTTGGATCCAGGCTGTTCAAAGGATTGTATCTACCCATATGAGCCTTCTCTGCCTTTAAGATCTTCTGCAGAGGCGCTTCTCTCAAGTTTCACAACCTTCCTAAGTTCGTTTGGTGAGGATACAAGAGAGGGCCTTCTCAGTGGCTGCTCCCAGGCTTTGGAATGCACTGCCCCACCCCTCTTGTCCTTCCATTGTCAGGCAAAGACCTTCCCCTTCAGGCAGGCTTATAAGCAGTAAGTTAAGAATGCTGGTTTTAAAATATTTTTAATTGTTTTTATACTTGATTGGTTTTTACTTAATCGGTTTTTAAAATGTGATATTTATTCCCTGTTTCCACGGAAATGAGACCTAACCTGAAAATGAGCCCTAGTATGATTTTTCAGATGCTTGTAATATAAGCCCTACCCCCAAAATAAGCCCCAGTTAAGTGAAACCCCGCTGTCCACCATTGTGCAGCAGCCAGAAGATGACATGACTATATTTAAATAAATGTAGATTGTTGTACCTTGAAAACAAAAGTAAAACATCCTCTTTAAATGATCCCTAATATGCTTTTTGGAGCAAAAATTAATATAAGACCCTGTCTTATTTTCAGAGAAACACGATATACAGTTCTAAATTATCTTGTTTTACCTTTTGTGAGATTGCCTTAGGTTCTCTATAGTGAGAAAGGTGACATATAAATAATTTAAATAAACAAACAAACATACACCAAACATAAGAGTCTTTTAAAATGTGGTGAAATAACGATAAAATTAGAAGCACCCAAAAGCCTGCTGAAAACAATTCTGCCTTGCTTCTTCTGTGTCCCTGCAGAGACATCGTATTTTACAGGGACTTAATTCTAGAGCATAGAGCAACAACAGGAAAATATTTCTGCCTAAAGTATCCAAGCTTTGACAGTGGGCCCCTGTAAAAGGGCAGTCCTAGACAACCTCAGTTGATACAGGGGCTCATATGGGTAGAGGTGGTCTAACAGGTGTGCAAGCTATATAGGGCCTAAAAAGTAATGACCAACATCTTGAGTTGAACTCAGAATACCAACTTAATGTGACAGAGAATATGTTTGGCAAAAAGAAAAATGTAATGAAGACGGCTGAAGGTTTTTTTTTGGCTCCCAACATAATAACCAGATTTTAAACTCCTTTTATGGTAGACATTCCTCACAGTTTTGTTCCTGAGGTTTTGTTTTAGTTTTTTCCACAAAAGTGGATTGCTGCCCTTTAGCAAGATAGGTTCCAAACCATTTTACAAAAATTCAGAACACAGCACCTGAATTTACAGTTCAGTAAGTGAAACATCAGTCCAACATCCCTCCACACACTCCCAAGATGAAAAGACACAGAAAAAAATTGATTTGCCTATAGATTCTGAGTGCTGTATGAAATGGATTTCACTTAATAGTAATATGCTCAGCTTATAGCAACATTAAATAACATACATTATTCATAAGTTTAACATATATCATATGCTTTTTCTTTTTAATTAAATTAACTTTTATTTGATGAAGGTTTGAAATATTAATAAAATACTAATCCTCCCAGTTGTTGAGAGGGTCCTTCATAGCTTTTTAAAAGTGCTAATGAAATAATTTAGCCACATACTGTATATAGTCAAGTTTCTCTTGCAGTATTCTTGATCTAACAGAGTCCAGATCTTGAAAAGGACCCTTTAGAACAGAAGGGGATGCCATTTTGGACTTCAAGGGAGAAGGGGATTGGCCTGAAAATTTCTCATTTGCTTTCTTGTGACTGAACCAATGATTTGTTTGTCAGGACAGGGACAAAAGTGGCATACAACTCAATATTTGAAAAGTTCTGTGTGCTTACTAGACTTGATCATGTTCTCTAGTTCATTTACATTTGCTTAGGAACTAGGAATCCTTCCTCCAAGCCACCGTCTGTTTATGTGCATGTGAGGAGTAATTTTAATGTTGTCCCCCTCCCTCACAAAAGAGTTTTCCCTATAGTTATGCTTCAAATGAAAATGCAGTTGTGTAGAGCCTGTTCATGATAACATGACATACTTCTACCGTAGTAACAGCAGGGATATATATATAAACCTAAAGGTGAAGAGTGTGTTCTACATCAGTGAAACAGATCCCTTGTCAGCATAGTTATATGGCACTGAGCAGAGATGGAGGGAGAAGACTTTATGCCTGGTGCTGCTAACTTTGGTAGACAGAGCTGTACTTGGGGGCCTGAATGATTCTTGATTCATAAGTTAGTCGGTTATCTTGCATCACTTAGCCTTTTCACTTGTGCTCAGAACAGCTTACACAAAGAGACATGGAATGTCTTCTTGCGTAAGTGATCAGAAAGAACCAGAATTTAAGTAGCCATTTATTGCTATTGGATTTAAATACCCACTGGCAAAGATTATTGAAGCTATTAATTTTCTGTTAACAATTGGGCAAATTTGTCTGGAGATTAGATTCTGTGTAATTATGTATGAAATAGACCATTAGATTATTGGTGAGCCAGAGTGCCCAAACATCACGGGAGCTCCTGAAACACGTCCTCCTGTTTCTGCTTCATACACTCCATGTAATAATTTTATAAATAGGTATGTTATTCTACCATATTAGCATATATTGACTAATATATATTTTTAAAGCTTACAGCCGGCCATTCAGGACATAAAAGATCCTCAAGTTGGGGAAGAACATACTCCTTCTCCAGTGCTGTTAATAGAGGATGTATATTAGAAGATGAAAACAAGAATATCAAAGCAGGTCTGCAAGCTACGTTACAGGTAAAGTATATATAAAGCAAAAGAGGTGGAAATGGCTTTTGAAATTGTTCCATCTGAAGATAAGTACTTTGGACAAAATTTGATACTGAGTGTACAATTTACTTTACTTCCTTCAATAGCACTAAACACAAAACACAAGTACTGTCCTGTAGTGTAGAGGTCCCCAACCTTTTTGGCCCCACGGACCAGCTGGGGAATGCAGGGCACCTACCTGCAGGCATGCGCATGCGTGAAGCATGGCGTAGTGTTTGTGTGCGTGCGCATGTGCTCATGCACATGCACAAAGGGCAGGGCAGCACTCATGCGGGCGCTTGTATGCAGGCACAAATGGGCTGTGCGGGGTGGGGGGAGGTCTCTCTCCACGGCCCGGTCCGGCTCAGATGCTGTGAGGAAGATGGAGAAAACAACGAGTAAATCCTGATTTTCAGGCACCAACATTTTACTTCAATAGGAAGACAGGAGTGACTTGAGAACTTTTTTCTAAGAATGCCAGTTGATATCAGTTTTGCATTGGTGTGTGTGTTTAGTCGTTTAGTCGTGTCCGACTCTTCGTGACCCCATGGACCAGAGCACGCCAGGCCCTTCTGTCTTCTACTGCCTCCCGGAGTTGTGTCAGGTTCATGTTGGTTGCTTCGCAGACACTTGGGGGCAGCAGTTATTCAAGGATACTTTGTTTGTTACATTGGCATATACTGTACCTCTTCTGCATGCATTCCTTCATGTTCCTCTTATCCCCGTGATTTGCTTCTATATAGTAGACCAAAATTCAACAGATTGTATTCTGATTGTGCCTTCATAACTTTATCAGCCCTGGTTTTCTATCTTCTTTATCTGGCAAAGTGCCACTTTCTGTGTCTCCTGGTGTAGACTTTCTCTGCATCCTCCACCATAACAGGACAAGACTAAACCTAATGTCATGGTAGTCTTGCTGTCATGGAAATTCCACAGTTCCTGCTAAACTTTAGGAGGTGTTTGACTAACAAATCTTGCATGAGAAAGAGGAATTTGTTTCACTAAATTGTGAACTGAAGTGTTTGACTTACATTAATTATTCTCTGTGTTTATGTTAATTGCTCTTGTGTATGTGTGTTCTGTGCAGTCAAGTCAGAACCAATTTATAGAAACTCTAACAGGGCTCTAATAAGTGAGATATTTAAGGAGTAATTTTACCAGTTTCACTCCCCCAGTGCGCTTCCGTGGCGAAGTGGGGATTCAGACCCTGTTCGCAGGAGTCCTAGTTTGTCACTGTATCTACTGTACCACATTGGGAATCTAATCACCCTTTTACTGTTATAGATTAGGACAATGTGTTCTATTTTATGTTTTCATTTTGCAATGATTTCAGCTATCCTTGTGCATCTGATTGGTAGATCCCTCTTTTCATGTGTTCTAGAGATGATTTTTTCAGATCTCTTCATGGTTTGTCTTCTAATTACCTCTCAACTAGGAGAAGTCCTTCTGATCAGGTAGAACTATTTGCCAGAGATGAGAAGGTCACAGAATCCCACAGCTATCATATCCACTATGAATCATAGTTCAGAAAAGTCCATAAGTTGTAATACAAAAAAAGCATTTTTTTTGCAGCTTAACTCTTTGTCTTCTCTCAATCTTGAGTTTCTCTCACCTTGCAGTACTGATGACAATTTCTTTTCTTTAAAAAAAATCAAGACAAGATAATACACCAACCAAATATTTCCTTTCCATCTAAAATTGTCTTGATATTTTTCCTATTTCCATTTTCCTTCTACCTAGGATGACAGAGAGCAGGGGATGTAATACCCTGGATGTGTAAAAAGTGTGGGTGTTTCATTTACACAGTGCCCAACATTTCTGCAGTGGTAGTGTTGTGCAGCGTTTGAAAACAATGTATGTATGTATGTATGTATGTGTGTGTGTGTGTGTGTGTGTGTGTGTGTGTGTGTGTCTGTGTGTGTGTGTGTGTGTGTGTGTGTGTGTGTATGTATGTATGTATGTATGTATGTATGTATGTATGTATGTATGTAAATCCCACAGCTATCTCACTATACTGCTAATTATTAAATTCTGCTTTGTACTGTTTCCTCAATCATTACTTCAGAGAATAGATTCACACAGACCATGTTATCCATTGGCTAGAATCTGGTGTTCATTAGTGATTTTAAAGATATATTGAGGGATGTCTTCGTTGTTTTCCCAGTCACATATCTAATTGTGCAATGAAGATTCACCCTGGCACCTCAGTTAGCTATGCCAAGTTAGGCAAACTTCATGTGAACACCAGTTGGATTTCAGCCTCTGTTACCTACCTATGTAAAATGCTGTACTGCCACTTATTTTCTCAAGGTTGGGAAACATTTTGTTGCAGATGCAAAATGTGACTGCACAAATGATCACTCAAGATTAGAGGTATGCAGCCTGTCTTTCCTTGACTTTGGAGACACTGGGCAAAATCCTGTTTGCATAGTTACATAGGCATAAACCAGATAGTAAAAAATCACTACCAAGAGGATTGGGATTACCTGTGGTGATCTGGCAATGATTTTGGATTCTTAAAGGCATCCTCTCCATCTGAAGGTTCCCAAAGGCTCCCCAGGACAAAAATGAGTCCTAAGGAACCCTGGAACTGAAAAGAGGAGGACAGAAAGTTTTTTTGTTTGTTTAAATTAATGAATTTCAGCACATGTATCCAGGTTATGCTGGTATGACTGCATAGATAGGATTTTACCCACTTATTCTGAAAGCCCTTTCAGCAAGGTTGCAACAATATTGACTTCTCTTGGTATTCTTTCATTATGAAGTGAGATAATTAATCTATAAATTAGAAAAGGGGTTACCTAAGGTTAACCTCCCTCCCCCTGGACACAGATATTTAGAATATATATTTGCTTTAACTCCCTTGTACTGTAGTACAGTGATTGAACTTCAGTATTGTAGCCAAAACTCTGCTCACAACCTGGCTATAATCCCAAATAGCAGGCTTGAGGTTGACTCAGCTTTCCATCCTTCTGAGGTTGGTAAATTGTCTGCCCAGCTCATGGGGTGTTGCGGTGGTAAAGTGTAGCCTTCATAATTAAATTGTAAACTGCCCAGAGAGTGCTTTAAGTGCTATAAACAGCACACTTTGTTTTTCTTCGTGTGTTTTTTCTGCTTTGATTGCATATGTTTGTGGTGATCTCCCTTTCCCCATCTGACTTTTGTGTCTTTTTACCACTACGAAGTAATGAGAGGCTGTGCAGCAGTTTCAAATTAGCTAGAATTGAAATAGTCTTTACTACTCACCTGTTTGAAATAATACCCTGAAATCTGAAAATTGTTGAATACAGTGGTGCCTTGCATTACAAGCTCTCCGTTTGACGACAAAATCGCATCACAACAAAAGCGATCGCAAAACGATGTTCCCTATGGGGGAATTTTGCTTTGCGATGATCGGTCCCCTGTTTCGCTAACCGATTATTGCAAAGCAGTGATTTTCGGCCAGGTGATCGGCGGTTTCAAAATGGCTGCCGGGTGAAAAGCATGTCCGCCTGCTGTTTTCTGGCACGGATTCCTCGCTGCACGGACAGCGAAAATGGCCGCGCTATGGAGAATCTTCGCTGGACTGTGAGTTTTAAGCCCCTAGGAATGCATTAATTGGGTTTTAATGTGTTTCTATGGGCTTTTTTAAATCGCATGACGACGTTTTTGTTTGACAGCGATTTTTTCGGAACGAATTAACGTCATGCGAGGCACCACTGTAGTCTTAATGAAAGTGTTACCATGTTGCAAGAAACAGCAAAAAGGAAGAATGTACTTTTACAGTGGTGCCTCTATTTACGAACTTAATCCATCCCAGAAGATGTTCTTAAGTCAAAATGTTCGTAAGTCAAATCAGCATTACCTGTAGGAATGCATTGAAAACTGATTAATCCGTTCCGGCTGTTTTTTGTTTGTATGTAGAGGCGCAGTTTGTAAGTTGAAGCATTAGTTCCCATAGGAACTAATGCAGAACCAGTTAATCTGTCCTCAGCCACTAGGGGGAGAATAATTTTTAAAAAAAATCTAGGATGACTTAGGTTAAAAAAAAAGCAGGAAAGGAGGGAGGGAGGGAACAATGGGGAACAATTTTCCACCAACACATTTTAAACCAAACACCTTTTAAACCAAACCAATCAACTTTTAAATCAAACAACTTTTAAACCAAACCAATCACCTGGGGAGCAGAGAGAGAGGGGGAGAGAGAAGACAAGGGGGGGGAGAGTTGAATCTAAACTCCATTTTAGAGCAACTCAGCCAGCACAGACCCTTGCAGAAAGGGTCTGCAAGACCATCAGAGCACAGAAACATAACCCCCCCATCCACCTAGCCCAAAACCAAACTGCAAGGGAAGCATGCAGGAATCATTGCAAATGCACAGAAAACAAACGGCAGATCAGAAATGCACAGAGAACGAAGGGACAAGGTCAGAAATGCACAGAAATCAAAGGAAAAAGCAAGGGGAGCATGCAGGAACCATTGCAAAAACAAATGGAGCAGATCAGGAATGCAAAGAGAACAAAGTAAAAAGCATGCAAGACACATCGAAAATGGGAGAAACCCCCCAAAAAGCAAACAAATCCCCCAAGACCCATCGGAAATGGGGGAAAACCAAAAAATAAATTCCCCAGGACCCATCAGAAATGGGGAAAAAAACACTCCAAAAAGCAACCATATCCCCCATCGGAAATGGTGGGAACAAAAAAACAACAATCCCCCAAGACCCAGCACAGCACAGAAACATAACCCCCCCCAGCCAAAAATCACCCTGCAAATATACCCAGAACAGTTTTTAAAAAGTATAACGCAGCACCTTACCTTAGCAGGCAGCCTCCTTGGATCCCACACTCTCTAACTGCCAGGGCGAAAGAGCTACAAAGAAGCAGCGTCATCGTCACTTACAGTTAGAAATTTGAATTTCCTTCCCTTTTCTCCTGCCTTTTTGTGTTCGTAACTGGAAGCTCCGTTCACAAGTAGAAGCAAAGTTTTGCGACCAGAGCTGTTCGGAAGTTGAAATGTTTGGATAACATAAGTAGAGGCACCACTGTATTGTTGGGGCAAAATATTATGGGACCCTTCACTACTTAGAATAACTTCCTAATTTTCTCTAAGAACAGAAATAGCTCATGTAAAGATTTATGCCTCTCTTACAATAATGCCTCCTGACAAACCGTAGTAGTAAGTGATCTCAATTGTAAACGAATACAAATATCCCCATCTCAGCTGCACCTAATGAGGGTCCGGCCCCCAGAATCAGCCTGTCCACTCATGCGTCTCAGTGCCACAAAGGTCCTGCTCTTCCTGCCAATTGCGGCAGTAGCTCCTCCATCTCCCTGATCATCTGGCCACTCCAGGCAGGGGGCGGGAGGATGAGTCTCCCCACACGGTTGCTGAGTGGCCAGCTGAGCAGGGAGACAGAGGAGCTACTGCTGCAATTGGTGGGAAGAGTGCAGCTGGTATGGGAGTATTCATATTCCTTTACAAATACAAATATCCCCATTTCTAATCTCAGTACTACCTGAACTGTGATGTCATGTTTTCAGGTTTGTGTAGATAAATGGATGGATAGACAGACAACTTTTCAAATGACATCCTGTTTATGAAAATAAAGTTTTGGGATACATCCTAAGTAATCTTAAGAAAATATCATTTGATGTATTAGAAAATAACCTTGAATATAATGTACTGGTTACAGTTGTTCTCCCTCTTCCTTCAAAATTCTTCAGGTGTTCTTAACGAGTTCTGCTAATGTATTTCTATTGGAACCGTGTAATGAAATACCTGCACTCTTGAAGGAGCAAATTGATGCATGCAGAGCAGTTTTGAGTATATTTAGACGCATGATCATGGAACTTGCAATGGATAAAAAGACCTGGTATGTTTTTAACTTCTCAATTCACCTGGGCAGTTAATCTGAAAAGGAGTCTGAAACATTCTGTATGCAAATCTATATATGTTTAACTGGAAACACTATTGAACATAATTTGTACTTCTGATGAGAGATGTATAGGGTAGTATTGTTTCTGTTTTACGTACCAATATTTTAAAACTCTGTTTCAGTTTTATAGAACTATAGACATTTAGTATGATGCAGCCATTGCAGTATTATTGTTATACCCTTATTGGAAATGTATTACATAAACATGATTTCAGCTAAAGCTATTAGTTAATTTGTATTATCTGGAGGCCACATCTGTGCAGGAGTTTCCTTTTTTTCCTGTGTGAAGGAAACGATGCATGACTCCCTCCAATTGCATAACTTATATTTCCTTCCCGAAAGGACAGTAGGAAATTCTTGTGTGCATCTATCTAGGTCTACAGAAGGAAAATTCTAGATTACAAATAATTTATGAGTATGGATTTGGAATTTCAAAATTCTCCAGATTGAGACTGATTTTTAAAAACTTGGCATATTGCACAATGTTCTATTATTACTGATATGGGGTGGATAGTCTATACATTGCAGATTGTGAGGGTGTGTGCCAAATAAAAGTTGTCAGTGTTGAATCTGCCATAAGATAGAATACAGAAAATGTGTAAGCTTGGGACTTGATTTTTGAGATCAGAAACATAAAATGGATGCTGTTGTTGATGATTATTGTGGAAAAACATATGTTTCAAGGCAAGATGGCTTCTCTTTCACCTTTTCCTGTGCCTGAACAAAATGTTATAAATGAACAAAATGTTGTGAATTGAAGTTAGGGAATATGCTGCAAATATTCGTACAGTGGAGTCTCGACTTATGTGTGGCTCCACTTACGAACTTTTCGACCTACGGACTTCTCCGGCCACAAAGTTTCACTTCGACTTGCAGTCGGAGAATCGACCTATGGACCAGAATGGGGAGGCGGGGGAAGTGCCAAATTCAAATTTGGCGCTTTCCCCGCCTCCCCCTTCCAGTCCGTAGGCTGCAGGTCGTGCTGGCTGTCAGCTCTGAGCTTTCTAAGCCCACTGGGGACAGGAGGCAAGAAACCAGTGGGTCCAGCTTTCTAAGCCCCGAAAGCCCAAAGCAGACAGCGGGCACAGAGCGGTTTTCGGCTTTCCGGCCTCCAAAGCTACAAGCCAAAAGCCGCTCTGCGCCCGCTGGACGAACTGGCCTCTTGCCTCCTGTCCCCAATGCCCTCTGCCTTCTGGCCCTGCGGGGATGGGAGGCAGAGGACAGTGGGGACAGAAGGCAGAGGGCAGTGGGTGCAGCTTTGGAAGCCCTGGGTTTTTTTTTTCTTTGGCTGGAACAAATTAAATGATTTTCAATGCATTCCTATGGGAAATGGACCTTCAACCTACGGAATTTTCGACCTGCGGCCACAGTTCCAGTACGGATTAATTCCGTAAATCGAGGGTCCACTGTACAATTTCCAAAAAATGAGAAAATTATATAAATCGAATGCTACAGACTATGCTTATTTTAAAAAGATAAATCAGTTGTTTGAATATTAAAAAATCTCAAATTCCTCAGCAATTATATGTTGTTATATAAAATGCATTTTCTTATTACATGATAGGTTAAAGTAACAAATAGTTAAAAACAATGGCTGAAATCCTGTTACTTATCGTAATAAGCCACAACTTATGGAGGAGCTGGCTCATCAGTACCCCACTCTAGTTGCAACTGACTACACTGAGCAACAGGATTTCAGTCAATGTACAATTAAAGGTAAAAATGTTTTATGACTGTTACAACAGTGACAGAGAATCATAGATGAGTTTCATGTTTTTCCTTTTATTATTTCTAATAGCTGTTTTTGATAACATTGAGCCAAAATTATAGCCATGTTTTAGCTTTATTTTCACTTCTGTTTATGTCAGAAACAGACTCATTTGCTGTCCATGTTCAGGATTTTAAATTCAGCTTGAAAATTACCGTATTTTTCACACCAGAAGACGCACTTTTTTCTCACAAAATAACATTGAGCCAAAATTATAGCCATGTTTTAGCTTTATTTTCACTTCTGTTTATGTCAGAAACAGACTCATTTGCTGCCCATGTTTAGGATTTTAAATTTAGCTTGAAAATTACCATTGTTGCATGTTCAGTTTGTGATTCGTCTTATGGAGCGAAAAATACGGTACCATTGTCGCATGTTCAGTTTGTGATTACTCAAAGGATATTGGAACAGTCCCTTTTAGTATACAGTACTGGCTGACAGATGGCAGTATCAGAATTGTTGTTAGGTTCTAAGCCAATGTAGAGATGGATTGTGTTTTATTTATTTTGTGTATTTCTCATTTTTAAAACTGAATTATTATTATTACTTCATCATTTCTAAATAGTATAGTGGTTTTCCCCCCAATTTTTTTCCATAGGGAACAGCTGTTGCAAATACTCCTCAGGATTACAGAAGCAGTCATGAGCAAGTCTAAAGAGAACCAAACAAAGGATGTGTTTGCTCAAAGTTTAGCAGGATTACTATTCCGGGTATGTCTTAATGTTTTGGATGTCATATCAAATAGAAACCATGTATTAAAACTTGTATTTCTTAATGTTTTCCAAAATAGTGAACAAACCGAATAAACAAACAAACAAATGGACTGGCAATATAAGATTTTTTTTCTACATTTTGCTAAATGACCTGAACAGGGTCTCTTGGATTTATACAGGTTCATTGTTCAATATGGCAAAAAATAGTTATTGACCTTAGACAATTTATGGACAAAATCTAGGCCATAGGGAGGAACCAATTTGGAGTACTGGATCCCAGTTTATACAGGTTCATTGTTCAATATGGCAATTGAATATGGAGTACTGGATCTCAAGGATCCCCACCCCTTTGCCCACATCTGGGCCAGAAGATATAAACGGTCCCTGATGTTACAACTCTCCCTAACAACATAGACTACTACAACTTTTGCATGGGTTTGGGAAAGTCTCATTGCCATGTGCATTCCTCTATCGGGAAAACATATGGGGTGGGTGAAGTCAATTCAGAGACCCCAGTGCTGGCTGCAGGAATGCTCTAGTGTATAGCATGAAATTCTGGAAAGCTTTGCCCATGTTGCCGTTTTTTCCTCCCATTGAGGGAACACACAGAATGGACAGTGCTTCTGAGACTCTGCTCAGGCTACATCCAGCGCTGTAGTCTTAGTAGCTTCTTCTCCCCTGCACTTATGTCATTGGGTTAAGCAAAGTTCCTTGCTTTTACCTTGATTTTGAGAATTGAGGTAAAGGGTTCTCCCATTTGTTCCTGGCCTTCCCATTTGTGAGGGCAAATGGCATAGGGTGGTGATTGGAATTCTTAATTTCTAAGGATGAGAGGAAGACGGGAAAACACCCTGCTCTGTTTCAGGTCAGGATAATTGTGTGGGGGTGGGAGGGAAGAATCCCCAGGATGTGGGAAGGGGATATTTCTGATCTCCTGGATCCTAGTCCATCACTCTGTCCACATGCCAGATTATCGTTACGCCTCTAGAAGATACTGTGTCTTATTTATCTTTCCAATGATTTTAATGTTTTCTGCATACTTTACTTATAGTGCTCTTTCTTCTGTTTGGACGTATATATATGATACCTATCTTCCTGATAGCCCAGCTTTTGAATACATCCTTTCCAATGATTTTAATGTTTTCTGCATATTTTACTTATAGTGCTCTGTCTTCTGTTTGGACGTAAACAGAACAGGAGGTCAAGCAGTGGGAGAAAAATGTTAAAGATAATGGCCAGCTTTTGAATACATCTGTCATACCGAATCAGATTAGCTTTTAATAATTAGAAGCCAAAATCCCATTCCCTCAATCTGTCTTCTGTTTGGACGTAAACAGAACAGGAGGTCAAGCAGTGGGAGAAAAATGTTAAAGATAATGGTAATTGATTAGTGCTACAGTCATGAAATAAAGGAACATCAAACATTAAAGATCCTATATATACTTTAATGTTTGATATGATAGCCCAGCTTTTGAATACATCTGTCATACCAAAATTTCTCAGTGGCATATTATCAACATAGAAATAACGGGTACATAAAGAGGTCTATAAAAGCAGAACTATTTTTCTTTCTCTGGTATTTACAAGATTAGAAAACCACACTCCATATTAGAACATTTTCAGATGCCTTGAAATTGATCAAATGTAGTTTGTTCTTAAACTCAATATATCTTTATTTTGAGTGTAGCTCACAAGATCTCTGTTTAAAAATATTGGTATATACTCTGTCTTTTTTCCAAAAAATGTAACTCAAGACAGCTGACAATAAAATGAAAAAAAGGCAGACAAATTATGTGAGTTAGTTAAATTCAATAAATGTATTTTTAAAAGAGCATTTGAAAAACAATAACTTAGAGATTACATTTCCTTTTTATCATAAGTTTATCAGCATAAGTTTACCAACACAGATTCCCTTGGTTGGGACTTCCTAAGTGGGAGATTGTGTTTGTGGTTTCCCTTGGTCTTTCTAGAACCACTCTTTGGTCCTTTGCTATTTTCACTGCTTGCTGCCATAGGCCTGTTTGCCTTGCTGCTTTTCCAGGTAGGCTGCAGGAGGCAGATCCTAGAAAGCTAGCAGTGCAGAATGGTGAGGTCCAAACAGAAAGCAGTCTCTGCTGCCAGTTCAGAGGCCTCCCAACATGGCAGTGGGAGGCTTTTGGGTGGTGGTGGCTGAACTCTGGGTTACTGCATTCACTCCATAAGACGCATGTACTTTCCCTCCCACCTTTTTGGAGAGAAAAAGTGTGTCTTATGGAGCGAAAAATACGGTATATGGGGCTAGTTTTTTTAGATAGCAGGTTGAATGAGGAAATAACCAGTACAATATACTGAACACAGACTTTACTTTGGCTTATGTGCACAGTTTGATCCACAAATGGCATAAAAAAATTGTAATCCTTTATTTCAGGTTTTTCCCTGTTAATTTAGTGTCTTCTCAGTTATACTTTCAGAAATTAATCAATTTGAGTCCTCCTTAGAATAAAAAAAGACTGTGATGTTGTTTTCTTGGAAAAATAATATCCTGGTAAAATTGCCATTTGATTAGTATTTAGTACCCTGTTTCCCCGAAAATAAGACCTAACCTGAAAATAAGCCCTTGTGTGATTTTTCAGGATGCTCGTAATATAAGCCCTAGCCCAAAAATAAGCCCCAGTTAAGTGAAACCCTGCCCTCCACCATTGTGCAGCAACTAGAAGAAGATGACATGATTGTATTTGAATAAATGTCGATTGTTGTACATTTAAAAAATTAAAGCATCCCCTTAAAATGTGTAGATTGTTGTACATTAAAAAAATTAAAGCATCCCCTTAAAATGACCCCTAATGGTTTTTTTGGAGCAAAAATGAATATAAGACCCTCTCTTATTTTCGGGGAAACACAGTAATTCAGTTACTTTACAAATTGCAACTGGAGTCTTGGTTTTAGAAACTGAAGTTTAAAACTGGTTTAAAAAACTATTTAAAGAATATTTCAATTTTTTTAGAAATCCATGTTTCTAATCTGTTCTTTAAACAATGGCCATAATCTTGTGGGCATGAAAGCAATAAATAAGTGCAATAAATTAATTGATGATGCCAAAGAAAATGGAAAAATTATAACTTGCCTTGTTTGAATAAATTGTGTTCTGAATGTTTTACTATTGCAGAATTGCAAAAAATTGTTATGTTTGAAAAGGGAGAGGCAGGTTATGGTCAGGGTATGGATAAATAGCTCCAATGCATACTTTAAATTTCATTTCAGACATATTTGACCATAAAAATAGGCAACATAAAATGCTTTTAGGCTATGGAATATGCTACTACTTTTTCACTGATCACTTTCATGTTTACTTAAAGAAATATAATGCAGAACATGGATTGTGCAAGGTGCAGAATGCCCTGCCTAATTTGGTGTTTATGTGTATGTCTGTCCTTTTGTACAGAAATCTGTGTATTTAAAATTCTAGGTAATAATTCTTATTCTTCTTCCCATCTTCTTGTCTCCCCACCACAGACTCTCATTGTGGCTTGGATCCGAGCTAATCTGAGTGTTTATATCTCTCGAGAGCTCTGGGATGAATTGCTGCGTGTATTGTCATCTCTTACAGACTGGGAAGAACTGATAACTGAATGGGCTAACATCATGGATTCCCTAACATCTGTTTTAGCAAGAACCGTGTATGGTGTTGAAATGAACAATTTGCCACTAGACAAACTAAGTGAGCAAAAAGAGAAAATACAAAGAGCAAAAGGTGAATCTTGATTTAAATTAAAATCCTCAGGGTACTGTGTCTTAAACTGTAAGGCATTTTAGGCTGAATGTTCATCAAGGCAAAGATATCAAGTCTAATGTTCATCAAGGCAAAGATATTAAGTTTGGACGTAAACAGAACAGGAGGTCGAGCAGTGGGATAAAAATGCTAAAGATCATGGTGATTGATTAGTGCTACAGTCATGAAGTAAAGGAACATCAAACATTAAAGATCATATGTATGTAATACCTATCTTCCTGATAGCCCAGCTTTTGAATACATCTGTCATACCAAAATTTCTCAGTGGCATATTATCAACATAGAAATAACGGGTACATAAAGAGGTCTATAAAAGCAGAACTATTTTTCTTTCTCTGGTATTTACAAGATTAGAAAACCACACTCCATATTAGAACATTTTCAGATGCCTTGAAATTGATCAAATGTAGTTTGTTCTTAAACTCAATATATCTTTATTTTGAGTGTAGCTCACAAGATCTCTGTTTAAAAATATTGGTATATACTCTGTCTTTTTTCCAAAAAATGTAACTCAAGACAGCTGACAATAAAATGAAAAAAAGGCAGACAAATTATGTGAGTTAGTTAAATTCAATAAATGTATTTTTAAAAGAGCATTTGAAAAACAATAACTTAGAGATTACATTTCCTTTTTATCATAAGTTTATCAGCATAAGTTTACCAACACAGATTCCCTTGGTTGGGACTTCCTAGACTTCCTTGACTGGGAGCAACCTCTGGGAAACTCCTCTAGCATCTCCACCAAAGATGCTTCTATTGGTAGTAGGACTAAGAGAAGGTCATGACCTGTGGACATAAAAGCTTGGATGGGTTTGTGTGGGATAATCAGGTAGTCCGGACTTGTGTTGCATAGAACAATGTACTCGGCAGTTATTAGCAACTGAGGACTAGCGGTTTGATTTTAATGTTAAATTCCATGTCAATGAAGATGTTTAGATTAAGTACGCATAAGGAATAAATGGTAAAATTGGTCCCTTACTATACATAAAATTATAATTTTGTGGTACTCGTTTCCAGTTTTTCTAGTTCTTTGTGATGATCCTGATACTTGAGATATGTTACCTGGATTACCTTGAGTTAAGATGGATTCCCTTTACATTGCTGAAGCAGAAAGTGAAGCTCCAGTTTATCTATACTCACTTATGCAAAAACAAACAGCATTTGAGATGAGATTCACTGCAATGCATGAGCAGTTTCTTTTCTTGTGAAATGATGCATGTGGTTGTTGTTTTTTGTTTAGTCGTTAAGTCGTATCTCACTCTTTGTGACCCCATGGACCAGAGCACACCAGGCCCTCCTGTCTTCCACTGCCCCCCAGAGTTTTGTCAAGTTCATGTTGGTAGCTTTAATGACACTGTCCAACCATCTCATCCTCTATCGTCCCCTTCTCCTCTTGCCTTCACACTTTCCCAACATCAGGGTCTTTTTCAGGGAGTTTTCTCATGAGATGGCCAAAATATTGGAGCCTCAGCTTCAGGATCTGTCCTTCCAGGTAGCACTCAGGCTTGATTTCCTTCAAAATGGATAGGTTTGTTCTCCTTGCAGTCCAGGACACTCTCAAGAGTCTCCTCCAGCATCACAGTTCAAAAGCATCAATTCTTTGGTGGTCAGCCTTCTTTATGGTCCAGCTCTCACTTCCATACATCGCTACTGGAAAAACCATAGCTTTGACTATGTGGACCTTTGTTGGCAAGATGCTGTCTCTGCTTTTTAAGATGCTGTCTAGGTTTGTCATGGCTTTCTTCCAGGCATCTTTTGCAGTGGAGCTCAAGAAAGTAAAATCTGTCACTGCCTCCATGTCTTCCCCTTCTATTTGCCAGGAGGTGATGGGACCAGTGGCCATGACCTTATTTTTTTTTATGTTGAGCTTCAGACCATTTTTTGTGCTCTCCTCTTTCACCCTCATTAAGAGGTTTTTTAATTCCTCCTCACTTTCTGCCATCAGAGTAGTATCATCTGCATATCTGAGGTTGTTGATATTTCTTCCAGCAATCTTAATTCCGGCCTGGGATTCCTCCAGTCCTGCCTTTCGCATGATGTATTCTGCATATAAGTTAAATAAGTTGGGGGACAATATACAGTCTTGTACTCCTTTCCCAATCTTGAACCAATCAGTGTTTCCATATCCAGTTCTAACTTTTGCTTCATGTCCGACATATAGGTTTCTCAGGAGATAGATAAGGTGGTCAGGCACTCCCATTTCTTTAATGACTCGACATAGTTTGTTGTGGTCCACACTGTCAAAGGCTTTTGCGTAGTCAATGAAGCAGAAGTAAATTTTTTTCTGGAACTCTTTGGCTTTCTCCATAATCCAGCCCATGTTAGCAATTTGGTGTCTAGTTCCTCTGCCCCTTTGAAATCCAGCTTGTACTTCTGGTACAATGATGCATACTATGTGCCATTTTAATTCAAATTCCTCTAAAAGTCTTCAGTTTATCCATCTTTGCCCTACCTTTTCTCAATACCTGTAGTTCTTGTGTGACACTTTGTTCTCATGAAGAAGTCCTAGAGTCTTCAAAGTGCTGATTTGAAATTTTTTACCATGCAAAAATGTAGGACACCTTTTTTCACTAATGTGATGCACTTTCCAGAAGGACATTGGAGCCTCATTTATTTGTTTAGTGTGTGTTATTGGCTTATGAAATTCCCAGTCTGTACAGTTGTGAATGTTCCTGCTTCATATCAGGAATTTCACAGGCTTGTGGTATATATTTTGTTTTTAACTAAAACTCAGAGCTGAGGCAAAAGACAAGCACTTAGAATTAAAGAATTCTGAGTCCAGGGATTTGCCAGAACTGAATGAAACTCAAAATCCTGGCACACAAAAATGCATTCCTGATTGTTCCCATCCCTATCTCAGCATTCCTTATTTCAGCAATGTGACTATAATTTCTGCTTTCGTGGTTGGGAGCTAAACTGTTAGGAATCAGAAATTCTTGCCAGTGTTCTTCAGATCATGTATAAATTATCAGTAGATCCCGTCCCTGCCCTGCTTGACTTGACATATGTGTTTGATACAAGTTTGTAGTGCATCTTCCCACTGACTGCTCATTACAGGAGCACACGGTTTGAAAGCAGATTGTAGAATACAGTGGTGCCTCGCTTGACAAGGATAATCCGTTCCAGCGAAATCGCTGTAGAGCAAAATCCTCGTCAAGCGAAATAAAAAAGCCCATTGAAATGCATTGAAAATCGGTTCAACGCGTTCCGATGGCCTAAATACCTCAGTATACAGCGACGATCCTCCATAGGGCAGCCATTTTTGGGTGCCTGTAAAGCGAAAATCTGTCCTAAAGCACAACGGGCAGCCATTTTACACAGCGGGTGGCCATTTTGAAACCCGACAATCAGCTGTTTTGATCATCATAATGCGAAGAATCGGTTCCGAAAGCAGGGAACCGATCGTCAGGAAGCGAAAAAAGCCCTTTGAAACATCGTTTTGCGATCTCAAAAACCTCATCCTCAAGCGGATTCATAGTTTAACGAGGTAATCGTTAAGCGAGGCACCACTGTACATGTATGTAGTTCTCCAGCATGTCTCCATAGCTGGTCTCCTGCATTTTGAGACCCAGTGCTTGTTTCATACTTACTTTTTGTAAAAGTGTGAATGGCCATAATGGAGGCCTTGTTTGCAGAAAATTAGTATGTGGAAAAACTGAAGTGGGTTGTTCTCTCTTACATCTTGTACTAAAAAGTTTCATATTGTTCCTTCTTCCACAATGGCTGGGACAAAAATACACACCCAGCAAAGTCTCATTTGTTTTATTGAGGGTGTCCAGTGAAGACTTTTTGTCTATGCAGAAAGAAAACTAAATGGCAGTGTAAACAGGTAATATTAAACAGTCATGTGTAGCTCCTATTCATGACACTGACAGATTGGAGTTTCCTAATATATTGTACTCATTGTTTTAATCGCTGGCTTGAAATGTATATACTCCTTCAAGAGTTATTTATGATGGTGGCACTAAAATCCTATTCCTTTAATTAAATGATGACACCAGTTAAAAATGATGACCATGTTTCAACTTCTATAAGAAAAATAAAACTTAAAACAAAGGTATTGTGATACCTTAGAGGTGAGCAGATTCATTTATTTCAATATGACCTTTTGCAGATAACAATGCATTTATATCTGAGGGATTGCACTGTAATCCATGAATACACACACTGAAATGTATCTGTTCATCTTTAAAGTGCCATAATGCTTTTTTGCTTTTATTTTTATTTTATTTGAGATTAGTCAATTTAGTAATGATTAGATCCATTACTCATTCTAAAAGTTCTTCTGTTGGTTTGTTTCAATTTTTAATATGCTGAAGCTAAATTTCTTATGTCGTTCCCTGTCTAAAAGGTGGCATTTTGGAACCTCCGAAAGGAGCTGCAGTTGGAAGATCATTTTCTTTAAGCTGGAAAAATCATCCTGAAGTTGTGGAACCGATGAGGTTTAGGAGTGCTACTACCTCCGGAGTACCAGGAGTTGAGAAAGCAAGGAATGTAGTACGTCAGAGAGCAACAGGTTAGGCCCAGGCAACTTGATATCTTAATTGTCAGTCAGAAAATTTAAATATAAATATTAAATGATGTTATATTTTATTGCATTTGTGCCATTTGTATATGGGTCTGTATTTGGGTGTCTATGGTAGATGGCTTTGTACCCTCTTTGTTATTAAGTGGTGATGTCTGTGAACCAAGAGATGAGTGGCCGGTTTTATTTTGGACCGGTTCTTTCTGCTGACTAATGTGTAAAGCATGACTCTTTGTTTTTTCATTTGGTTTTCTCCTTATTAATTTCTAGGCCCTATCAGTCAGATAATAATTCAGTCTTTGCTGACTTAAATGTGGTGTCTTTATTAGATTGCTAAAAAGTTAGACATAAGGTAAATTTTCAAAGTTGAAAAACTCTTTGTCAGGTAAAAATAATATAAAATATGGGATTAAGGGGAAAAAACAGATAAAAATTGGGACAGATGTGGTGTCACTGTCTCATGAAGCCAGACTACAAAAAGAAGTAGTAATAACTTTATTACAGTCAAAGACTAATAAGACCAGAACAATATAAAATAAATACATATAATTGTAGTTTCATAAAATTAGGCAGAATTATAAATTTTCCATTAAAAACATGATAAAACAACCCCTTCTTTCCATTTAATAACATTGTATATCTTTAAAATAAGTAAAACCTCAGCCAGTGTTATATTAAAAACATTATATTATTCATCTAAAATCGCAACCCAAGCATCTGGTCATGAATAACTATTGCTGCAGCGCAGAATTTGACCACTTGTCTTGTAATATAAGGGGTATTGTCAGAGAGTAGCAACTGGACATAATCCTCTTCTGATCTCCCGGGAGATTTACAGATAACAGGAAGTAAAAGCTCCATACGTAAATCCCGATAGCAAGTATAATAAAGGAGAACATGACCAACTGATTCGACTTTGTCACTATTACAAGGGCAGAGACAATCTGATGGAGGCCAACCTTGAAATCTTCCCTCCAGAAGCTTAGAAGGTAATACATTGACCCTAGATAGTGTAAAAGCCCTTGTGGCTTTAGATGACATAATACTGGCTAAATAAGAGGAGGTGATAAAAGGATATTTCTTAAGAAAGTTAGATTTCCCTAGCTGGTCAACATGGTTCTGTAGTTCAATATCCCAGACCCTTAACTTCACTGCTTTGATGGCATCAATGAGACCCATTGCTATAAGTGTACTGGGAGAAAAGCCAATTTTCGATATCTCTTCAGTTATATGCTTCTTCCACTCTGACTGGAAAGTATCTAGTAGCATCAGTGGGGCCAAGCCTTCCAATGAAAAATTAAGTTTAAGCCAGTGTTTTACCATAAAGACTTTAGCCCGTGTTTTAACGGATATTAACCTGACCTCTAAGCGAAGAAGCACATTGGAAGTACAAGGTGGAACTCCAATGATGGCTCTCCCAAATTTGGTTTTAACAATCTCCAGAGGTCGTAAGTTAGCGTAGGCGAACAGTTGAGAACCATAAAGCTCCATAAGACGCACAGATTTCCCCACACACACACATTTTTTTTGCGGAAGTGCGTCTTATGGAGCAAAAAATACGGTATTTGTCATGGAAATGGAAGATAACAGGGAAAAAGCATGTTCAATAATTAATGTTTCTAGCAAGTAATCTACTTAATGCAATGTTTTTTTTTTAAAAAATCTAGAATAATCAAGCTGTGCACATTCTAAAGGAAGTCTTTCCATGCTCTAAGGGCCTTTTGGTAAAAGGTTTAATAAATTGTCTATTTAGGAATTAATATCCTCAGTGAACAATTCTTAATCTTATGGGTTACACTCTATTGAATTTCTGATGAAGTGTTCATTTGAGCAGACAAAAATTATATGTGCCTTCAGTTTTTGCAAACTCTTCAATTACTATTTTCTTTTTCTTTTTTATGCCTATCTACTAAGCAAGATATTCCATTACTATTTTGACTTCTGTTAATTTATTTTTCCTTGGAAGCTAAGCGAAGCCAGTCTATCAACAACTGTGCTCATCTCTGTGAGTCTTTGCCAGTCACTAAAAGTGTACCTGTTCTCCTTCACACTGTGACCTCTCTCTTACCTGGTATCTCTTATTCTTCTTACTCTCACACTTTTTCAGGTATGATATTTAAAACTGTCTTTCTGGATATTCTGTATTCATTTTATCCTGTGTCTTATTTTCAACATTCTGCACACAGATGTTTTTGTAATAATGTATTTTTGTGAAAATGGCAATGTATTAGATTCTTACTTGAGAGGAAAGGTCGATCATGTACAGTTGCAAATCCTCTGAAGCAGCCTCGAAATTCTCAAGGTTCCTTGAGACTCAAAGCACATGGTTGTCCGACCTTTGAATGGTAGGAACTACACCAGCTTTGTTCATACATTTGTACATGATGACAGACTCCAGCCACTCTGTCTCTAAAAGTGGGTGGGTTTCCTACAGAAAGTGAGATTGTGTGAAGTTTAGTGTAACATGGTATCCACAATTTTTGACAGTTTGTGCAGTCTGCAATATTTTTTAACTGTTTAGGTCCAATAAATATCTACATCTATCCTTACTGCTATGCCTATGTATCCGTGCATCACTGGATACATATGCTATATGCCCAGTCTATTGAACTAATAATGATCTTTGTTATCTCTATTGAGAATTAGCTAGGTTAATAGCACATATTACCTGATTCATTAGCTAGTTGAATGAAAGGAACATGAAATACTGTAACCTGGATATCAAAGGTTTGAGAAGTGAGAGAAGATACCTTCATTTGCTTAATGCAAGAATAGCAAAGGAAGATAATAAGAACATGTTTATGTTTTCCACACTGTGGAGGAATATGTCCAAAGGAAACAAAGAACCCTCCAAAGAATGTGTATAAGGATTGCTATTGGCTGAAAAACTACTCTTAGCTTACTTTTCTGAAAAAAAAAAAAGCAAAAAAACCCCAAAACTTTTCAGGATAGCTTTCTTCTTATTATTTTTCTTCTCTAAACTTGGACAGCATCATGACTACTCTAGCTTTGAATAAGGTGACTCCAAATGATGAGGAGGAAAAAGCCCTTGTGTTTGAGGCTGGCAATTTAAATTGTGTGATGCACAAGCAAAACGGGTTGGAAAAGAGGAAATGGGGGTACAGTACCATGAAGATGGCAACTGGTTTAGTTTGTCCTCTGTGGATAGAAATGGACTCAAAGCTTTTTAGTGTTGTTTTAATGTTTGCCTTTTTATTATTTGTGAGCCATCTTCAGTCCTACTGCCAGAAAAATGGTGGCATGAAAGTACAATAAATAAATAAATAAAGGTTTGCTCAGCATTTCAAAATCCCAAGTCCTTTAGATAGATGTTTTTCTAAAATCCCAGCTACTTTACAGCTTTGTTTTCCATGAGAAATCACGGGAAATAATCTGTTTTCAGGATACGAACAGAATTGTGTTCTTTTAGGCCTATGTGTCTCTTCAGACCCTCAGGTCAAATTGCACCTGTGATTTTACAGTAGAGACATAATGGCAAAGGGTCATGTCTAAGTGAATGTGAATATTTTATTTTGTTTTCTCTTGTTATCGATAATGTCTGTAAAATGCATTAATGATATGACTGTCATATACCGTTATTATAGTTAGGCATGGCAAGTAATGTTATGTGTTTGAAACATTTTTATATCAATTTCTACAGAGGCTGAAGAATATCAGCAGTCAGAAAATGGAACAGGAACAGAATATCATGAACCAGAAAATTTAGCCACAATAGAATGTAAAGGTCAATTTTCAGACCAGGAGCAATTAACTCGAAGCTGTAGTACCTCAGATATTAGAGACCAATGCAGTTCTGATTTTCAAGGTAATTTAGAAATAATAGGAGTTGCCTTTTTTCGAAAATGCAGCTTTCATGTTTTCATATGAAATTCTTTTCATATAATAGCACTTATTGGTACATCACACATTAAATACAGTGTTCTTATACAGATTGTTACTTTTTTAAAATGATGCTTCTTACCTACATGCCATCCTATCACTTCAATTGAAGTTCAGAATTCTTTTCACCAGAATGTGAAATATGTAAATAAGTACGAATAAAGCAGTCTTCATCAGGCATAAGTGGTGGTTTAAAGTTTGGGAGCAGGGAAGGAATGAGAGTCCAAAAATTAAGGTCAGATTTGTCCATTGTTTTTAAAAATGGGCTGATAGCAAGGTGCAATGGAGTTTGCAGATTTGGTGTAAAAGTGTCAAAGTGTCTTTTTGCCTTCCCTCTGTAGACAAAATGCTTGGCTGGGACCCCTTTAGATCTTTTGTTGCCTAAAGCAAAGCACACAGACCTTTCATGTTGGCTCAGAGCATTAAAAATAAGGACCGCAGTATTTGTGTCAAAAAAACAGAGGAAATGTATATGCCCACACTAAGATGAAAGTTAATTAACACCAAACTAGAATTATGCCTAGAGATTGGAGGAGATGACATGTGGGCATCCTTCAGTCTCGGGAGACTATGGTAACGTGCTCTGAATAGAGGAGAAGAACTTCTCAATGAAGTGCAGCATCATGCAAAAACAGCTTCCTGTGACAGTCTGAAGAAGCTCATCCAATAGCAAACTGGAAAAAGCTGCCATATAATCTATGTATAGAAATAAAATTCTGGCTTGAGTAGTAAATTTATTGGATTACCAGGAAGTAGCAAATTATAAAGTCCAACATGGCTTGGATTCAAGCTATACCATGTCTTCCTTTATGAGCCTGGTCAGATCTTAGGTTCATCAGGGGAAGCCTTTCTCTTGGACCCACTACCTTCATACTTTGGTGGGGACATGGGAGACAGCCTTGAGCCCTGTCACCACACCCAGACTCTGGAATTCCCTCCCACAGGTGGCCAGGCTGACCCCATCTTTGCTGTCCTTTCACAAGCAGACAGAGACTCACTGCTCTTCATCAGACTAGCTTTCCCTTAATGATTGGCTGTCTGGGAGGGGTATCTAAATGGAGTGTTGTGCCTTGCTTCTTTTGAATGTGTTTTCGGTGTTGATTTTGTTTACCGTTTTTATTTGTTTGATTCTCTTTAAATATTTGTATACTTATTTATTTACTTACTGTTTTTAGCTTTTAAATATTGCCTTTTAATGATGTAAGCTGCCTTTGGTCTTTTTAATGAGAAAAATATTTTAAATAAAAAATAAATCAATACTTTTTCAGTACTCTTCATCAGGCATAAATGGTATAGTCATTTTAGTCAAATGTGTTTTAAAAGTAGAAATTGTATCCTTTAAGTTAACAAATATTTTATGGCATTTTAAAGCATTGCAGTAGTACGTCATGTATTAAAGCCAACAATTTTCCTAAACATTTATTTAATCTAAAAAAACCCATGATAATTGCTCTTGACTTTACAGTTTGAAATTTAAGTAACCATACTGTAGCTTTTCATTTTTGTTTAATTTATTCCTTCTAATAATTTTATTTTTGTGTATATGTAATCTTATTAATCCAGATGTAAAAGCAGTGATAACTTTATTTAGACCACTAAAAAACCAAACATTCAGTTCAAGCTTTTGTGAATATAATTCACATCTTCAGGCATAGGGTAAAAGAAAAAGTATGTATGGAAGTCCCAAATGGTCATGGCAAAGATCCTCCAGGAATGTTGCTTAGGTGACCTGAGAACTGTTTAAACCACTTTGGGGGTGAGTGTTTTTAAAGGCCTCACTCCTGGTGCCATTTGGTTGGAATTTTCCACAACCTCACTGAATGAACCCCCTCCTCCCATCATATGAGAGAAACGTGCCAGTAGGTCTAGCTCACAAAATTATGTGTTCATTATTTGTATAGAATAAAAATAAAGGTCGAAAGATCATTAATTTGTTAACATCTTGAACTGAACATTTTCATATTTTTTTTTAAAAATCACTTTGCACTTCACAGTTAGAAACACAGAAAGCTCACAGAACTTAACTTCAGATTCCAGCTCTGTTCAAGAAACTGTGGAGAATATGGATGAGCAAAGTACAGTCCAAGAAGTAAGTTAGATTAATGAAGATTACAGTGCATATCATCATAACATTGCCATATTAGTATGTTCCTAACATTTTTTTGAATGGAAAAATAGTATTCATTGATAAAAAGACTGTGAACTAAGTTGACATGTAGGGAAACAAATATTTCTTTTAAAAAATATTTCATTGCAAATTCATGCATAGTTCACAGTTAAATAAAATTTACTATGGTTTTTGCAAAAAAATATTGTTATATTAAGTGCTGTGAGACTTCTTACTTACTGTCTTAAATCCTGTTGCTTAAGTTGCAACTAGAATAGGCCCATTTGAATCTATGGAACTTGTGAAGAAGTTTACTCACCAAATGTTCCTGATTCTATGGGCCTACTCTGCTTTGACTAAATACGCGAAGCAACAGGATCTCAGCCACTGAATACTGCTACTTGACCTAAAGCTGTTTCTTTTATTAGGCATTTCTCTTGGTTTGTTCTAGGTTCTTAGGAATGTACACTGCAGGCCTTGCCTATTGTGCTTGTAGGTTTAAGTTTAAGTTTAACAGTTTAACAGATAATTATGGATGAGCAGGATACAATTTTGTTCTTGAAAGTACACATGTAGATTGGAATCACAGATCTATAAATCTCTGCTCACTTACTAAAGAGCACGGCCTACCACCTACCTGATAAGCTATACTTGCAAGGTTCCTGGCATTTTTAAAAACCATGCCCCTAGCCCTTCTAAAAACCGAGATACAAAGCAAAAGGAACAGCCACTATTCTGTCAGCTGTCAAGGTATAAGGTCTACTCCTGGAAAAACAACAGAGAATGAAGCTTAATATAAAGACTTCTCAGTGGCCAAGTATTTCTTTCTTAGTAGAACTGGTACCTGGACTACCCGTAGCTACCACAAATTTTGTACCTTTCCCCTCTCACTATCTGATATTTTTTCAGTCACAAAATGTATTGTTTCAAAAGGAGAGTGTATGCAGTTAAAACTTCAAATAATGCAAACATGGTTTTGTGGAAAGTAATCTGAAAAGACTTTGATAATAATGTAAGAAGTAAAATAAATTTCCTGTGTAAGCCCATGGTCACCACATTTTCTCCTGCCAGATCTCCACAGACTATTCTGATACTTGTTACAGAGTGTGCATCACTGATTCTTCTTCGTGGCCTCTATGAATCGCACCCTGGGTAATCCGTGCCTGCATGGAGCCTCGTCGGAAGATTCTAGAGCTTCTCCGGTAGCAAAAAAACACATTAGTGTAGACTCCTCCCCCTCCGCACATGTACCTTGGTGCCAGGGCTCTCCTTTCAGTTTCTTTCGACCACCACATTGAGAGCCTCGTGTTTCTTGCTTCTGTGAGTTTAAAAGTGAAAGAGAGTTCAATCTTGATTCCTTTTATTTTTCTTTAAACTTTTTTTAAAAATATCTCTTTTTGTTACAGCCTAAGAGCTGAAGCACACACACCCATTCTTACCTTCGTTTATTTGTATTTTTCACAGCCCCCTTGGGCCCATTTAAACATTACTTGGTCTGTGACAATAAAAATCCCACTTTTGGATGGCCACGCTGAATGTTTGTTCTTCTTCATGGTTTCTGTGAACACACACTAATGGGTTCATCTGCACTTTTGCAGAGGTTTCCAGAACCTTCTATAGCTTAACATTCGTTCGCCAAGAATGTTAGTACTCGAGGTTCACCTGTCCTGGCTCAGTTCCTTTTTGTTGCCGCTGAGGTTTCTTCTCTCAGATGAGCTGCATTCGCCTTTTTGGCTTTTCTGTGTTTAAAAAGCAATTCTTGTGAGATATCTTCTTGTGAGAGACTTTGTTGTTATTCCTTCCTTCTACCACCCCCCTTTCACCCCCATTTCCCTTTTTTTGTTTTTGCTTAATTTATGGCCTCTGGACCGTTTAAACGGTGCACTTTGTGCCCCAATAAAATCCCATTCATCAACGGCCATGACTCCTGCGTGTTCTGCCTGGCGAAGCACACCAGCCAGCTTCCTGGCCCTTTTGTAAGAAATTAATAAAGCAGGATCTTAAATTAAGACGGCAACGCCTGCGTTCTTATTTGTGGGAACGTTCTCTTCATTCCATACCAACCTTGGAACCTGTGCCACCTTACCAGATTCAGGCGGCTTCCCTGGGAGCCTCTGTTGCTTCTTCGGCAAAATCGAAATCTAAGACTATTACCAAATCTAAGACTGGTGGCTTGACACCAAAGTCCACACCGATACCGAAGTCTCCTCCAGTACTGGAGCAACAGTCCAAGCCTTAAAAAAAATCTAAGAAATCGTCGTCTGACTCCCGATCCTCCAAACACCAAAAGGATAAAACAACCTCTTCTATGAGCAGCAAACTATTTGCTTGGATTCTGTTTCTGTTGAGGATGATGATTATCTGCCTCCACCGTCATGCCAGCCACCTTCACTTCTGCTTTCTCAGTCCCCATTGTGGGCTAATACCTCGGCTGAGGTTACAGTACTTCCCTGTTATGACCACTCGAGCCCTTCGGATTGCTCTGTATCCGTGTGTCAGTTGGATTCAGCATCCATCCTGGCTAATCCGCAACCTCCACGTAAGCGAGCTTGAAAGACACATCATACACCAGAGACTGGTCCTTTTGATATCGATGCTCCACATCGACAGATGTCAATGGGGTTTCTTGCATCCCATGATTCACTTACGTGATACTGTCACCCCAAGTGGGTTACTCTCTACGAACCACCCACCTATTGCAAGATGCCACCACAATGGTACCGACACCGCGATACCGATACTGGTGCCCTGATACAGAGGTCTACATGGAACCTAACCACCCTCAGTACTCCTATTACTATTCCAACTCAGACTCTGAATCTCCCATTCTGTACTGCTCACAGCACTACAATCAATCCTCCTCTGCAGATGACTCTTCCATACCACTCCTGATACTGAAGAATCAGAAGTCTTCCTGAAAGAGGAAATATATCTCCTCGCATTGTCCTCCTTAGACATCGATACCGAAACATGGCCGGCCATCGTCCAGGCTCTTGATATCGCACATCGAACCCACCATGCATTCACAGACTCGTGCCTCATCAGTTCAAGTCACCACTACCTATACCGGTCCTTCACCAACAACCCATGAGATTAGTCAGACTCATCAGTCTAAGTGAGTTAAACCACGTAAGTCTGCCACTTGCGATCTAGCTATGAAACAAGATTCAACCAAACCAGCCATGACACCGGTCAATGCAATGGATGACCTGCCCTCTCCATATCAACCTTCTTCGTCACCATCACCAGATTCCAACACTTCTGAGTTAATGGTATTTAATTCACTTCTGAATTAAAGGATAGTCGTGGACATGAACCCTCCTTCCCCATCGGAGGGCTTTGCATCATATTCTCAACTAGTTCTGCGGATTGCTAGAGCGATGGATCTGGACGTACAACAGCCAGTACAGTCTGAATCTGACAAAGTTTATGAGGACATTAATGAAGACCACCACCCCCTCCATGTGGGCTAAACCATCTTCCGTGCCACAAATCTCAAGGAGAGTTGAAAATTTATATAAGACTCATGGTGACAATAGAGCTTTTCTCTCCAAGCATCCACCCCCAAACTCGGTTATAGTCGATGCAACTCAAAACGAGCCAAAAAATCGGTCTAACGCCACGCCAAATAACAAAGAAGGCAGGAAACTCAACATTATTGGTCGTAGGGTATATTCTCTAGCGTCCTTTACATTGCATACTGCAAACTACCTCACAGCTATGAGAGCATACCACTGATTCTTATGGAACAAAGCGCCTCCCTCCCTTCATTGTTGAAATGATCTCACCATCAGGATTGTCAAGGGCTACAGACTGCCTATCAGCCAGCACCTAAAAGACCCAGAGCAGCCAGTCAATACGCTTCAGCTCATGGTGCATTTGCAGCGACAGTAAGCCAATATTCCCAGCCCACCAAAAGATTGGGATCAATCATCCCGCTTGGCATCACCGGTGTCCATCTATTCCACAGCCATCCAGTGTGTTCCATTGAAGCTTTTATCACCTCAACAGCAGCCTCCATTTCATCAACACTAGGATACTGGCTCCAATATCGATGATCCTCGATATCGACCATTGACCAAGCTTCCACTTCATCACCATCAAGATACAGGCTCAGATATAGACGATCCTCAATATCGACCTCTGTCCATGGACATTCCATCAACATTGCTGCCCATGAATAATCTTCAATACCAACCAATGCCCTTGACATCGACATCTCGACATTGACATCAATACTTTGAGCAGCAACCCCTCAACATCGATATTGATCGTCAATTCCAGACACAATGTTGATCATTCTGAACCAGGCTCCAGACCGCAGACACCATCTATTTTGCTGACTTCCAAATCTGATCTGGCAGATGCTGATCCTCCATCTCCAGAGGAGGATTTTCAGACATATGTACAAATAATGGTGCATATAGCCAAGTCCCTGGATCTCCAGATACATAGACCCACAACTGAGCCAGCGGATCATCTCTACGATCTGATCCCCAAAGACGCAACTACTCCACTTGACATTTCCATGTTGCCGTCCCTACTTAGCACTGTTCAGTGTTCCTGGACAAAACCAGCTTCATCACACTCCATGTCGAAGCGCATCGACAACCTTTACTGAGTCCATGATCCGAGAGTGGTTTTTCTCCAAAAACAACCAGCCCCAAACTCGATCTTTGTTGAAGCTTCCCAATCTTGATCTCAACATCATCAAATACTCTTACTGCCCAGTAAGGACAACAGAAGAATTGACTCAATGGGTAGATGGCTTTATTCTTCAGCTGCCTTTATCATGAGAGTGGCTAACTACCAAGGAGCCATGGGCACCTATCAGCATATCCTCTGGGACAGTATGTCCACCTTCATTGAGGCACTTCCCAAGGACAAAAAGGGTTTGGCTCAAATGTTCCAATAAGAAGAACTTTCAGTTACCAACAACAAATGCTTTCAGCCAGACATACTGTACTGTTGATGCCACAGCCAAATCCATGGCTGCCTCTGTTGCCGTTTAGCATTTTTCCTGGTTGAGAACAGCTGGCCTCACTGAAGATGCAAGAGCACGCATTGAAGACCTCCCTTTTGATGGGACAGTTTGTTTTTAATGCAGAGACAGATGACATTTGGGAAAATGTCCAGAAAAAGAGATCAGGCGCTAGACGTTGGGGAGTCTACCCTTCATAACAGCAACGTCCCCAACATACTCAATGGTGGCACCCCTACAACTCCTAGCAGAAGTTCCATCACGAACCTCAGAGGCAAACCTCTTATACACCCTACTTCAAACAACAACCTTACTGGGCCAAACCATGTCAACAAACCACAACTAGGCGCAGTGATTGTAAAGCTAAGCATCATGTTTGACGTCCAACAGGCCAAGATCGTAATGCATCACATTTCTCCTCCTGCCTTCTGGAAACACTTAACTACTTGGGAAGCCATCACCACGGATGCTTGGGTCTTCTCTGTTGTCCGAAGTGGGCACTGCATTCAATTTCATCACCTCCAGTGCACACTGTCACACCTCCATTGCAAACCCTGCAGGACAAAATACAGACTCTGCTTCTCAAGGATGCCATAGAACCAGTATATCAAACTGACAGCAGTTTTTTCTCTCTCATTATTTCACTGTCCCCAAAAGGGACGGAGGCCTTCATCCCATCCTTGACCTCAGAAATCTAAATCACTACATTGTTATTACCAAATTTCGCATGGTGACCTTCCAGTCTTTTCTTCCCCTGCTTTGGAAAAACGACTGATTCACAGCCATAGATTTAACAGATGCTTACTTCCATATATCTATCCACCCCTCTCACAGGCCTTACCTCCGCTTTCAGCTCAGAACCCAAGCCTACCAATTCAAAAGACTCCCCTTCAGACTTGCAACAGCCTCCAGAGTATTCACCAAATGCGTGGCACCTGTGGCAGCTTACCTCAGACTTCACAAGATCCACATATTTCCGTACATCTATGACTGGCTCCTTGTAGCTCACTCCCATCACAGGGCACAACGAGACATTCACATTACACTGTCTCTTCTTCACAATCTCAGCCTTACTGTAAATTTACAAAAGTCCAAGCTACAGCCCACAAAGGTTGTTCAATACATAGGGGCACTCATGGACTCTACTCATGCTCAAGTATTCCTTCCAACAGACAGGAATTGCTTCGCACCTTCACTCCTCATGCATTTATACCTGCACTAACAGTTTGATGTGTCCTAGGCATCCATGATGTCTGTTGTGCAACACCTATGTCTCAAAATGAGATCACTCTAGGCATGATTCCTTGCCCTCTTCAACCCACTAACAGACTCTCCTCACACCCTATTAAGGGTCACTCCAGAACTCGCCGCTCAACTTTCTTGGTGGCGCTCTACCCAAAACATTACAATGGGACAACCTTTTCAACAACCATGTCCTCAAATAAGTCACTACCGACACCAGTGTCACAGGCTGGGTGCTCACTGTAAATCCCTAAAGATTCATGCCCTATGGTAAGAAAGTGATGTGATGTGATGTTCGCTGATGTGAAGCAGAGCTTTTAGCAGTGATAAAGGTGTGCAAGGCCTTCAGAGACCATCTTGCAGGCAAGATGGTGCAAATTGCTACCGACAACACTACAGCATTGTATTATATCCTCAAGCAAGGAGGCACCCACTCTCGAAGTCTTCTGTATCTCACAATCGACCTCAGGGAATGGTGTCTGTCACATCACATCTGCCTCACAGCGTTACACATAGCCAGCCAAGACAACAATCTGGCAGATCTCCTCAGTTGCAAGGATTCCCAAGCTCACGAATGGCAATTAGACCAGCCTGTTTTTCTCCTTCTCTGCAAACGCTGGGGCATGCCCACCATTGACCTCTTTGCCTCCCAGACAAATCAGAAGTGCAAATGTTGCTACTCCCATGCAGGAGTTGGCAAGCATTCATGCGGAGACGCATTTGTAGGCTGTTGGCCCAGGACCCTTACTTACCTGTTCCCACCATTTCTACTCCTTCACAAAGTAGAAGTCTGGCTCCAACAAGACAAACCCAACACTATTTTGATAGCTCCATGTTGGCCATGACAGCCCTGGTTCCCAGTTCTACATAATCTGTCATCAGACATTCATTATGTAGAACCGGGAACATCTAAAAATCACCTGCTCATGCAAAACAAAACTCAAATTCTCCACCCAGACCTCCCTACTCTGCACCTGGCAGTGTGGAGGATTCTGCCTCCCTGATGAATGTCCTCCATCAGGCGAAGAAACCCTCAACGAGGAGAGCTTACCTCTACAAGTGGAAGAAATTCCAGTCCTTTACTGAAGCCTCTACATTACCTTCAGTTAATCCCTCTCTCTCCACTATCCATTTTCTGCTTTATCTTAAAGCCAAGGGCCTCTCCCTTTCTTCCTTGAGAGTTTACCTTTCTGCAATCATTTCCTATCAACCACCAACCTCTCCAGCATCTCATTTCTTCAGACACCCTACTCTGAAGCGTTCCCTGAAGGGTTTTATCACGCATGTATCCAGATGTGCACCCACCTTCACCTCAATGGTCTTTAACAATAGTCTTGCAGCAGCTCATCAAATCATCATTTGAGTCCTTAGCTTCGGTTGATATTAGACTACTTACTTTTAAAACAGCGTTCCTCGTTGCTAACACATACGCTCGTCATGCCAGTGAACTTGCAGCCTTGCATTATGATTATCCTTATCTCCAGTTTTATCCAGATAAGGTCAAGTTGTTTGTAGATATTTCCTTTCTCCCCAAGGTTTATTCCTAGTTTCATATGTCCCAAACATTGGTTTTTCCCTTCCTTTTTTCTATCTCCATCTACTGCTCATGAAAGAATCCACCATACTCTGGATCTCAGACAGGCTCTAGCATTTTATTTAGCCCACACACAACCCTTCTGACATTCAGCTCGACTTTTTGTCAGCTATCAACTCCCTATGAAGGGTCTCCAGGTGACATCACATAGAATCTCCAAGTGGGTTGCTTCTACCATCCACTTTTCGTACCAGCTTGCTCAAAGGCCAGCTCCTCAGGTGATTCGCCCTCACTCCACTAGGGAAGTGGCCATTTCCACAGCATTTCTTCATGGCGTTGCTCTTCCAGATGTATGCACCTCTGCCACCTGGTCACAGCCATAGATTGGATGTTTGCCAAAAATCTGATGCAGCCTTGGGACGTGCTGTGCTAGCTTCTACCCTGGCGTAACACCCTCCTCTGGGTAAGACAGCTTGTTAGTCACCCAGGGTGTGATTCACAGAGGCCACAAAGAAGAATGACAGGTTACTCACCTGTAATTGTAGTTCTTCCAGTGGACCTCTCTGATTCACACATTCTGACCCAATCTCCCCACTGTCATGCCATGCAGCTCTAACATATGGCGGTTGACCTAACTGGCACCAAGGTACATATACAGAGGGGGAGGGGTTTACACTAATGTAGTTTTTACTACCACAGAGGTTCTAGAATCTTCTGACGAGGCTCCACGCAGGCGCAGATTACCCAGGGTGTGAACCACAGAGATCCACTTGAAGAATGACAATTACAGGTGAGTAACCTGTCATTCTTTCTAGAAAAGTGATTCCCAACCTTAGGTCCTCAGATGTTCTTGAACTAAAACCCTCAGAAGCCTTCAACACTAGTTGTGCTGATCAGGATTTCTGGGAGTTGTAGTCCAAGAATATCTGGGACACGGTGTTGGGGAATCCCTTCTTCTAGAGCATCTTTTTCCCCCCTTAAAACATACACATCATGTTAAGTTATTAATCTTCTTATGAGGCTGATGATAGAAGATGCCAGTTGTTTTCTTAAAGCTACTGTAGTGTGGTTGTTGGCCTCTGGATTTTTCCCCTCTTAATTTTTTTCACTCCAAATAATATGTTGCTGGTATTCACAGTGCATTGGTAGAATATAATGCTGTTCTGCGTTGCAGTTGTCTAATTCCCAGGATTTCCTGCTACGTTGTGTAGACATCTAAATGGGATTAAATGTGAACCTAATGCATAAATTCCAAATGTGTGTTAATTTTAAAAAGTGCACAGGTGTTTTGTAGTAGCATATGATGCACATAAATTTTTATCACGTATCACTATGTAGTTTTCCTCAGAGTGCTCATTGTTTGACCCATATTTATTAAACTTTATGGACATAAGAAGTACTTTAAGTACATACATACTTCTAGTGGGATTCAGCTTTTTCCCTTGAACAACAGAGTCCAAATTTCAAATCATAACTCAGTTTCTGACTTCATCAAGGGCCATGGTTAACTTTGGTTTATGAATCAGAAATTCAAAAATTCTTTGTACCTTGGTTTATATTTATGTGACAAAACAACAGTGCTTCATTTTCTTGAATGTGTTCCTGCAGGCTAGCAAAAATTCAACTGAATTTGATCTCCAAGAAGATGGGCAGCAGTCACATGGAAGCCACAGAGAAAGAGAAATGAGTGGGTATCAGTAAAACCAATTTTTATTTGCTTGTTTTACTGGAAATATTTGTGATAGAAGACACTGATAACAATTGCATCTATAATAAGTGTCATTTTACCATTTTGATAACTTAAGTTTTTTAAAAATAAATCTTACTTCACCATTTTGTTCCTTACTTTCTGACTATGTAGGTGAAAGCAGTGACACCTCAATTGGATACAATAATGAAGTGGACATTTCTTTGGCTCCCTGCCAAACAAGTGAAGAAAACCATGATTCAGACCTTCCGACTGAGATTTCTGTTGATCCAGATGGATGTCACTGGTTGCATTTGAATCCTTCAGATGCTACCAATTTAACAGGTACCTGTGTTCAAGAAAGTGTTTTTCTTTATATACAAGCCTGCTCTTGCTCAAGCACGATTATAGAAGAGCTGGGAATTAGTAAAGTGTCATAAAACGTTGGCCAAAATGTTTTGTGTAGATATACTAGCAGAATGGCATTAGCATAGCTCCGAGCAGCAAATTGCAGTCTCCTAATAAGAAATATCAGCCTTCTGTCAATTGAGAGGTTGGCTAGCTTGTTCCACAATTATTCTCAGTCAACTGAATCAAAAGCTCCCCTTACATCTAAAAAGGCTACGTATAGTTTAGATTTGGCCTGCTTTACATATTTATTTAGATGTGTTAAGGTGAAGCAGTGGTCAAGGGTGGACTTCCCTTTCCTAAATCCCACTTGTTCTGGTCTAATTATTGCCCTCTGCTCTTCCCAATCTGCCAGTTTATTTAAAAGATATTTATCATAAAGTTCTCCTATGATAGATAAAAGACTGATTGGTCTACCCTGTTTCCCCAAAAATAAGACCTAACCTGAAAATAAGCCCTAGTATGATTTTTCAGGATGCTCATAATATAAGCCCTACCCCAAAAATAAGCCCCAGTTAAGTGAAACCCCACCTTCCACCATTGTGCAGCATTGTGCAGCAACCAGAAGATGACATAACTATAAAATAAAACATCCCCTGAAAATAAGCCTAATGCGTTTTTGGAACAAAAATTAATATAAGACCCTGTCTTATTTTTGGGGAAACATGGTATAATTACTAGGGTTTAGGGGGTGACCTGATTTCTAGATTGGAACTACTATTGGTACAGGCTTCTGGCAATAGGCCCACCTTGTCTACCATGATAAGAAGGGCAGTCAGTGGTGCCGTCCACCAATCCATATTGAATTTTAATAGGGATATTTTAATAGGGATATTATATTAGATCCTGGTGATTTTCCCAGTTTTAACTGAGAAATTAGTTCCTTTATATCTGTAGGGGTGACCAGAGGCCACCCTGCGAAATTCCTTAGGCAGGACTTCACCCTTAACACTGGTGAAGTTGTATTTATTGTAAAACAAGCTTGAGAAATATCTGGACCAAATATTTGGTTCGATGTTAGCTAGATCTGAGAAACTGCTTTTAGCTTCATTATTCACTATGCCCCCAAATAGTTTGGATTTTCTAAGGGATATTGTGCTGAGTGCTTGCTTCCATTGGTTATAAATAAAAGCTTGTCTTTTTTCCTTACACAATATCTGTATCTGCTTCTTTGGTTCGTAGAATTCGTGTGGCATGCTAGCTCCTGTTCCTTATGTTGTCTAAAAATCCTCTTTAGGAGAACTTTTCAGTTCTCCTAGTTTTTTTGTTTCCCAGAAGGTGCTCTGTGTGACGTTACTTCTGAGGTTTGTCTGATAAATACAACTTGTTTTGTTCCTTTCTAAATAACTGGCTGCTATTTTCAATTATAGTTAATCATTGTGGTGAGGCTGTAAACACTCCAAATGCATTCTTTGAATATGTGAAGCATCAGCTTGCCTCCCACTGCTTTTGATGCTCATAGCATCCTTTGTCCCAGTATCCCTTCCCATGTGGAAGACTCCACTCACGTGTGTTTATATGCATATAAATGTGAAGGTGGTGGAGAAGGGTGCTTCGGAATGTTCCCCTCACTTATGTGTTTATGTGACATCTTCTGTTTGGGTACAGTATCATTTCCCATCTGTTCATATTCAGTTTTGTCCTGAGTAGTTCTAGACAGGCATCACATTCTTCCTTATGAAATGAATGAAAACCCACATGTGACTGGGACTAATGGGAAGCTAGGGGATTCCTTCACTCTTATTGCCTGTAATATAATAATATTGGTATCATAATTCTTTTAGATATATTACCCTATAGCACTAGAGGGTGCTGAATATCTTTTGATCAACTGCTGTACTGAACAGATTCTGTGACGAATGTGGGAAATTCACACATATTGTTCATTAATAGAAATACATGCTAGTCAAAATTTTCAAGTTTGCCTCTCTTCATTTTAAAGGGATGTGATGGCGCTGTAGGTTAAACTGCAGAAGCCTCTGTGCTGCAAGGTCAGAAGAACAACAGTCGTAAGATCAAATCCACGCAACGGAGTGGCTCGTGTCACTTGTCATTTCATTTTAGTGTCTTGTTTATAGCATTGATCAAACTTATCCCCCTTTTTCATTCTTCTAATAGCTTGATCTGTTCGCCCTGACACTGATGGCTGAACAGTGGGCGTAGAGCAGCATTGTGAATCAACTGGTCTCTTTTGAGATCACTGGCTCCCTTCTTCATTATTTTCCTTCCTGTCTCTGGCCTCTAGAATGGCATAGGAGTGTCGTTATTGGAAAAGAACCATGTGAAATATAGTTTACCAGAACTCTGAAGTCGGTACCATTATCTGAAATAAACTAAATTTCCCATGGTGCCTTGTACAGTGGTGCCCCGCATAGCGAGGTTAATCCATTCTGGATTAACAATCGCTATTTGGAAACATCGCTAAACAGAATAGAAAAACTGATTGGAACGCATTAAACTTCGTTTAATGTGGTTCCAATGGGCCCCAAACTCACCGTTCAGTGATGTTCCTCCATAGCGCAGGCATTTTCACGCCCTCGGTAAGTGAAGGCAGGGCGCGAAAACGCTGTGCGCGACCATTTTGGGTCTTCCGGTGGCCATTTTGGAACCGCCGATCAGCTGTTCCCCTGACATCGCAATGCGAAGATCGGTAAGCAAAACACTTACCAATCGTCACAATGCGAATTTTGCCCATTGGAACTATCGGTATGCGATCGCATTAGCGATCCCAAAAAACGGATTGCTATGCGAATTCGTCATTAAACGGTGCGCTCGTTATGCGAGGCACCACTGTACTTGGAACAAGTAGCAATTCAAAGTATTCAATTCCTTGTGGTCCAACAATGCAAATTCCTGGCCCCCTCCCCCAAGTCTTGTTGTGAGCATTTTTTTTTTTTTTTGATGCTGTGGAGATACTCTGTGTTGCCATAATAGAAGCAGACTCCTCTCACTCATGTCTGGCTCCTCTGAGGAAGGATCCCGTCAGTATAAAGCTTTTGGGCCTGGTGAATTCTGTGGCCTGGTGATTTTATTTTCTCTTATAGTATTCCCAGGGTATTGCTGCTTATTTATTGCCTCACTGTGATAAGTTATAGTAATGAAAATAGGCAACCAGGATATCTGCTGTGTTATTATGATACAGGAAATTGCTATACAGGAAAGTAGCTGGCAATTCTTTGTGTAGGGCCCATCTATCTCACATTTTGCTCCAGAGGATTCTTATAGCAAGGCATTGGGAAAGTAGCTGTTCTGAAAAACTGTGCTGGATGCTTCCCTGTTGTGGCATTTGCTGTGGTAGGGGAGCAGATACTGATAATAGGGTCTCCTAGTGACAAGATGGTTTGCATTTTCCTTGTTCCTTCTGATTTACTCTTCCTCATGGGGTGGCATTATTATTAAACAGAGAAGTTAATTTGACCACATATAAGTGTCTAGAAAGCAAACAATGTGGCCACAGAAAAGGAAACTGTCTTGGATTATTCTGCTGTTCTATTTTGTTATTTTCTTCAAGTGCTCTGTTTGTTTTGCTAGTAAGTATAGCAATAAACCTAAACAATGCTTGTGTGTGTTACGGTAGGGAGTGAAGGACACTCATCCATCATAAATATTCTAAGTAGAGACTCATCAGGGAGAGAGAATACATTAAGCTTGTGACTGTGTATGATATATATGTCTTTTATCTTTTAATCTTCACCACACAATTGAATGGTTGCCTTTCATTTCTACTGGAAAAAGAAAAGTGCTGCACTTAAGGGTTATTGTTGCATGGGCAAATCCTGTCTTCTGTATCTGACATTAGCTGGCCTGCCGTCGGTGATAGATACTGTATGTTGGAGGAGGATGGTTTTTGCTCACAGCTCTCACTAGGATATAATATATTACTGATTGTGCTCCTATAATATGCAATTCTTTCCTTTTCACAGCTTTGGGCATTTTGTAATTAAGACAAATAATTTTATCTTTTTCAGACAGCAGTGAATTCCTTGCTGATGACTGCAGTATAATTGCTGGTGGGAATCTTATAGGCTGGCATCCTGACTCTGCTTCTGTGTTATGGCGGAGAATATTGGGGATTCTTGGAGATGTGAACAACATTGAGTCTCCTAAAATACATGCCAAGGTCTTTCAGTATCTCTTTGAGCTGTGGTACAAATTAGCTAAGGTCAGCTCAAGTCTAATTCATCTAAGATTAAATGTGTTATTAACTGTATAGTCTATCTGAAATCACTTGAATAAGTCTTTTTAAAGGGCTAAATGTGACTTTCAGTCTCAGCTAGAGTAGAATCAATAGGACTCGCATAAATATTACTTTAACAAATACCATTCATTCACAAATACCATTCATTGGCACTAAGAATTTGATTTAGCCTTCTGTGTCTTGGTTTCTTCAATTACTCATTTTAATTATAGTTCAGATTTTAAACTTAACCTAAAGCAACTCTTTTCGAACAACTTGTATCCTAAATAAACCTTCCAGCTATTCTCCAACACTAACATGTAACACTTCTAATGCGCATTAACTCTTCAGTTAGGAGGGAGAGTAGAAAATTTATTCAAATGATTTGGTTTACAGTAACCAATGACCTACCAATAAAAAACTGAAATTAGAATTTCCACAGTGGACTGTAATGTGTATACTGTGGAGGTAACCTAATGGAAGTTGTTCCATAGGAGAGGAGAAAGGCCAACACTAACATGTAACACTTCTAATGCGCATTAACTCTTCAGTTAGGAGGGAGAGTAGAAAATTTATTCAAATGATTTGGTTTACAGTAACCAATGACCTACCAATAAAAAACTGAAATTAGAATTTCCACAGTGGACTGTAATGTGTATACTGTGGAGGTAACCTAATGGAAGTTGTTCCATAGGAGAAGAGAAAGGAATAGTGTTTATTTATTTATTTATATTTATTTATATGCCACCTTTTCCCCCATAAGGGATCCAAGGTGGTTGACAACCAAAACTATAGAACAGTCTACAATCCAAGTAAATATCATATTAAAAATAATTAAACATGTATTAATATTTTAAAAAATCAAGATTAAACACAATCTAAAAACATTTGAAAATCTGTATAATTAAAAACATTGAGATTAAAAGTCTGTCTGAAGAGGAAGAACTTTGCCTGATGGTGGAAGGTCAAAAGGGAAGGGGGCCAACCTGGCTTCTCTGGGTAGTGCATTCCAAAGCCTGGTAGCAATAACAAAGAAGGCTGCCCTGTTCTGTCCTTGTCAAATGAACTAGGGAAGGTGGTAGAACTAGAGAAGAGACTGTATAATTAAAAACATTGAGATTAAAAGTCTGTCTGAAGAGGAAGAACTTTGCCTGATGGTGGAAGGTCAAAAGGGAAGGGGGCCAACCTGGCTTCTCTGGGTAGTGCATTCCAAAGCCTGGTAGCAATAACAAAGAAGGCTGCCCTGTTCTGTCCTTGTCAAATGAACTAGGGAAGGTGGTAGAACTAGAGAAGAGAGTGTTACAGTGGACCCTTGACTTACAGACGGCTTGACTTACAGACTTTTTGAGTTACAGACTTCTCTGGCCGCAAAATTTAGGTTTGACTTGCAGCCTGAGAATTGACTTACAGACCAGAAAAAAACCAAAATGGAACAAAAACAGCCTGTTACGGGATTAATCAGTTTTCATTGCACTGTAGGTCAATGGAGACTTGACCTACAGACTTTTTGACCTGCAGCCATCGTTCCAATACGGATTAATTCCTTAAGTCAAGGGTCCACTGTACTTTGGCATCCTCTGAGGTGAAGAAAAAAATTGGGTAGAGAATGGCTGGTACAGACTACCTCATCTGCAGAGATTCTATCATCTTTAAACAAGAGTCCTGTACAATTTGTATCTTCCTCAAGCAAAAGCAAAAGGTTGAGATCCAATGACTTATACTGGAAAGGTAAAAAAGAAAATACTATTTGTTTTAGTTTTGACCTGTCATATATTTTTTGTTGGTTTTTGTTCAGATAAGAGAAAATCTTGCTATCAGTTTGGATAATCAATCCACTCCTGCTCCTCCTGTTTTAATTCCACCACTCAGAATATTTGCATCAGGGTTGTTCAAGGTAAGTTTTTTAAAAAAAATGCTACTATGGTTCACCAGAAGCATTTTAGCTGCCTTGGCCTGGATCGGTATAACTTATTTTGCTTTTCTTTACCTTCAGTCTTACATTTAAAAAACTCCCCTACTAATTTTTAAACACAAGAGTCAGATTGTCATACTGTGTAAATACTGCATTTATTTTGACTGTACCAATCTATTATTTAGTCAGTATTTTAAGCCTATGGTTTTCAGCCTGTGGTCTTCCAAATGCTCCAGGTTTCAATTCCCAGAATCCTTATCCATTGGATATTCTGTCTAGACCTCTGGGGATTACGGTCCAAAATATCTAAAGACTCAAAAGTTGAGAATATATATTCAGTTTTGTTCTGTGTGTATATACAAAACATTTTATTTTTTTGCATTTATTTTGACTGTACCAATCTATTATTTAGTCAGTATTTTAAGCCTATGGTTTTTTAGCCTGTGGTCTTCCAAATGCTCCAGGTTTCAATTCCCAGAATCCTTGTCCATTGGATATTCTGTCTAGACCTCTGGGGATTACGGTCCAAAATATCTAAAGACTCAAAAGTTGAGAATATATATTCAGTTTTGTTCTGCGTGTATATACAAAACATTTTTTCCTTGATTTTTGAACTAGCTATAATAAGTTTAGTATGACAAATGTGTCAGTTACCTATAATCACTCTGATTAGCCTTAAAGAGTGCACAAAGATCTCTCTGATCACAGTGTGGTGGGGCAGAGGATTAGACCACTTACTTTCTTGTGCCTGCATCATGGCATGACAGCTGAATCAATATCTATTGACAGTATCTATCGACAAATAATAATTTGGTTAATGGTTTGAAACCTATATGGTGGTGTGTTCTTCCACTGCAAAGTAACAGATCAGTTAAGCATGAGGGCACGGAAGACCAAGAATATTTTAAAGAGCACTCAAGATTTTGTCTACCATTTTAAAAAGAACTAGATACTCCTATTGCATTATTAGCATATCTTCCTAAGTGCCTTTCTTTCTGTTGGTATTTTAGTTAAGAAGTACAGTGGAGTCTCGACCTACGGACTTAATCCGTATTGGAA